GATTAAGCCTAACTAACCGAATACTTTGGAACCATTTTTTTCTATCCAATTTTTCTATCTAGTCATGATTTGTTATGAATTTATTATGAATTCAGCCAAAAATCTACATCCACACAAATCAAGTTGTTTGTTTGAAGATATCAGGTTTTTTTTTCTGTGTCGACAAAAACAAAGCGACAAAATTATTGTCATCACAGTTTTTTTTTTTTTTGATAATTTTATTTTCGTCCAAAAAAAAAAAAATTTTTTGCACACACACACCCAAATGGTTTGCTTTTTTCATTTATTACTTGCTTGTATATGTATATACGGACACGAAAATCAATCAAATTTATTGAATTTGCATTTGTGTCTGCATGCTTTGAAACATTCGAACCGACAGACCGATCGGAGAAAGAATGGTGGGTTGGAAATCAATGATGGACAAAAAAAAGAGAAGAATGAATAAAAGTTAATAATCTAAAAATATAGAACAAATGACAATGAATAACAACAACAGCCCATATATCATTTATATACGATTGAATGTTGATCCAAATTCTCTTTCAATGTGTATTATATATAAATGAATAAAATGAACAAATTCATTTGTCGATTGATTCTTTGATCTATTTTTATTTATTATATCTTTGTATCGAATATCTACAATATCGATTGTATCGATTTATTATATCTCCTATATAATCATATTCGATATTTTTGTTCCAAGGAAAAAAAGATCCAACACACTACTATATGTTGGACGTCGCGAACCTATACATTAGTTTGTTTTTTATCGAAAATCACACACTCTGAACACACGAATACTTCGAATAATAACTTTTTTTTTGAAATAACCAATTAATACATTTGCTCTACGCGTATATAAATAGATAGAATGAGAATTGAGAATATTAAAAAAAAGCTTGATCACACACACACACACACGCAAATTTAACCAGAAAATATATTATCCGTCTCGTATGTTTGGGTAAATTTTTACTTTCATGCGACAATTAATAAAGCTCGTTTCCTTTGTTTTCACTCTCTGGTTGCCCTTGATATTTGTTGTTCTGAAACAAAAATACCAAACAAACAAACAAACAGAAAAAAAATTCTCGAGACAATAAAACTTGCGGAATAAACAAACAAAAATAACTTGCCAAATATTGCACCAATTCTCTTTCTTGTCTCCTATTGTTCCTAAACACCAAAAACCAACCAAAAAAAAAAAATTCCGAGTGATTCATTTTCATTATTACATTCGAGATTTTCATTATTACAACTATAAACTTGTGAATGAAGCGCTAACCTCAATTCAACATTACCAAAAATGTGAAACAAAATGAGAATAAATACGGTTAATATATTTGTGAGATAACTAATTATTGAGTATCCGGCCACAAAACCACAATCCAACTCATCAATCTGGCCATTTAATTATGTTTCATTGTCGTATTTTTTTTCGTTGGATTTAACGCCACAGAATTGGATTGACGAAAAAAAAACAAAAAATAAAATCCGGAATAATCGTCATCCATTTGACGTTGATCATGAATGAATGAGAAAAGAAAATCAATAAATATAGACATACAATCATTATTTGTGTATATTAAATAGAATCCACATATGCCACAGCACAGAATGTCTTTTGCCAATTATTTTCAATGATGATGATGGTTTGGTACCAATAATAATTGTTTGTCGTTTGGTGTGGATGGTGGTGTATATAATGATTGTTTTTTTTTCAAACTTTTTTTTTATTGTTCAATAGAATATCGTAAATGGACAGAATTCATGAGGAGGTATTCAATGAATCGATTACCGGATTTTTATATGATTTTATTTCATTTTTTTCTCTATATACCTGAGAATCCTTACTAAACTTTTTATTATTATTGTTGGTATAAAAAAAATGTTGCTCGTTTTTTTTTTTTGTTCATTTCGTTCTCTATTATCTCGGTCGATCCACTGAAATTCTTTTTGAAAAACCCCCTCCCCCGCCACCATCACCTCATCCACAAGCTTATGATGAATTTATGCCCATTGGATTCGATGGAAATGAAAAAAAAAAATTTTTTTTTTCACCAAAATTAAATTGGATTTTTTTTCTCTTGTTACTTCCTGCTCATTTTTTTTTCGTTGTCAAATTCCTTGTAATTTGGTATTGAGCCATTTGTTTGATTCATTTTTTGTTTGATTTTTCTGTTCTTTTTTTTTATTTGCCCGTAAATCAAGAGTCAATAAAACAAAAAAAAAAAAAAATTGTGCCAAGGGAGCCACCACCATCATCATCATCATCATCGTGTATCATATACAGGGTCGTTGGATAAAGTGAGCCCATTGTGGATTAATGAATGTGAATCAGGGCAGTAGTAGTGAAAAAAAAATGAAATGAAATAAAAATCCTTGACTTTAAACAATAACAGTGAATGGTGTGAACCAGATGAATTTTCATTTTGTACAATTTATGGGGGGGGAGCTACATCATCAACCATTTTTGTTTGTCTGTTTTTTTTTTGTTTCAACTTTTTAACAATTCCTGTGGTTTCTTTCATAAATATTCTTTCGTTTGTTGTTATAGTGTGTGTTTGCGTGTGTAAATCCTTCAAGTTTTTTTTTTATATCTTGTTGTTGTATTCTATTTCAACTCTTTTTTTTTGTTCTGTGTTGAGATTCTTCAATTTTTTTTTCGAAAAAATGTTTTTTGTTTTCTTTCTAATGGAAAAGTTTTGTATTTGAAACACAAAAAAAAACAAAAAATTTTTCATTTTTCTGATGACTTGTAATTTGCCCAATTTTTTTTTTTTGATTTGATTTGATTCGATGATATTAATATAGATGCTGACGATGATGATATCAGATAGATTGTCATTGAATCATTGAATTTTTGGATTTTTTTTTCATAAATATTTATTGTTATTAATCATATATATCACACGCAGAAATCTAAAAGTTGTGAAATTTCAATGTTTTTTCTTCTTTGATACCTGGAAAATTTTTTGAAAAAAAATTTTGTCAAGTTGTTGTGTTTTTAATGTCAAAAAGTACGTTTTCATGTTTTCATTTTTTTTCTCTCAATAAAGAGAGATATTATCGATAATTTGACAGGTTTCACTTCAATAAAAAAAAAATAACACACGTCAAATTGTATGAATTTTGTTCTTCTTCATATTTCATTTTATTTCATCTACTAATAGTTGACACACACACATCCGTGTGGGTATATATGAAAAAAAAGAATTTTCATCACTTGTATATTATATGACCCTTTAGCGCATTTCATGAATCAGCATTTGAATCGATTTGATTGAACATGGAAAATCGATTGATCAAATTTGGTAAAAAAAAAATAATTCAATGTTCCTATTCTCTCCCTCTCTAAATTTTAAATTTCAAAGTAATAAATTCTGTATATGTGATAGAGAGGGAATGGGTGAGAAAATGAATTTTTCTTGTGTAAATGAGAAATATATTCTGTGTAAACAAAAAAAAATTCCTTAATCACACACAAGTTTGATAATTATCCCAATAAGTGGCCATTACCTTGTATTTTTTATTGAAAACAATTCAAATATACAAAAAAAACTACGGTAAACTCTGGATGGGAAAATGAAGGGAAAAAATTTTTTTTTTCATTGTGATACAAATAATAATGATGACATTGATAAATTATCTAACATGGAATTATGTTTAGTCTATACCATTTCAATCCATTCCTTATTTCCACCATTTTTGTTCATTGAAATATTGTTGTCCATGTGCGTGTATGTTGCTGCCCTTGTTTACATCGATGACAAATTGGTTGGTTGGTTGTCGGTTGTGTTTTTTTTCACACACACACACACACACACACAAACATCATTTTTTTCCTTTTCTTTTCCAATTGTTTCGATTCTTTTATTTACCACGAATCAGAAAAAAAATTCACATGTTTCAAATACAGGGCGACGAATATTTTATATATTCAAACAATGTTGATCACCACCACCAACAACAACAATACAACATTTCTCGTGACCAAATTGATGATGATTGACCCGAGAAAAAAAAAGAGTATTACAATGAGAAAATGTGTATATATTTCATTCAAAAATGTTTTTTGAATATTAATCGATCTATTGTTGTTTTGTTGGTCAAAAATGAATGGTTTCGTTTTTTTCCGGAATTTCGTTTTGAGAGCCGCGGAGATTCATTCAATCATAAAGGATTAATTGTTCATTCATTTTTTTTTCTTTGGTCAATTGTGGCTGATATATGCCTAGTTGTTGTTGTTGTTCACCAATCACAGTAGTAGTGAATTTCCGTTTGTTGTTTGTAATGTGAGATCTTGTTTTGGTCTGTTTGTGTTTGTGTGTGTGTTTAAGTGACCGAAACCATATTAATAGATAGAATTGCACATTTGTTTCACATTTTCCCATATTGTTTTTTTTTCTTTCCAAGAAATAACGAGATACTATCAACAACAACAACAACAACAAACAATGATGAAACGAAAAAAAGAACCAAACCAAACATATCTAATTGGGCACAATCGTTATGTATTTTATACATCTATTTAGATAGATCAATTAAATCAATTATTCCGGATCATCAAATCTAATCTTATAGAATAGATACCCACCAACACCATCACTCAGTGAATATCATTTTTATCCATGTGTTATGTGTGTATTGAAGCGAAAGAATACAACCCCTATGATTTAAATAGTACAGAGAGATAGATAGATCCATTGGGGTGGATAAAATGAAATGAAATGAAATCAGATGAATGGTGGTTGCATATAAAAAAAATCAGATCGATTTTTTTTTCGTTCGTTTTCGTATACAATAATAAAATCGATATTTTATTGATATCATTCGATTGATTCAATCAAATACACTTTGGTTAAATCACTTTGATCATTTTTTTTTTTTTTGAGGATGGCCAATTGGATGACCATTATCAATTTACACATCATTCATGTTCTGTGGTGGTGGTTAGTGTAACAGAAAAAACGAAAACGAACTCAGAACAGGACTGTTTGTTTAAAAGAAAACTTTATTGATGGAATAGAAAAGAACAAAATTGTAATAGATTAAAGTCAGTAATTGTGATATGAGTTGAAGAATAATTTATTGAAGGTTGATTGTTGACCAAAAAATTAAAACCAGAAGACGATTTTGGAAAACGTTGTTATTGATTCGATAGTATACGTGCGACGTGAGAAATGACCAGACCACTTTAAATCAATGGTGAATATCTGAAAAAACATGAAGACCAGAACATGAACACAAGAAAAATAAACTCAAGAAAACACAATACACAAACACGAGCATAATACTCACAAAACGATTCTAAAACTGCACCATCGTTTTTCTTTGCGCTTTTATGTTGGCGTTTGTGTCAGCCGATGATGACAGTTCAAGCTCTGTCTTTCTCCGGCTGATGGACCCCTTCAAATAATCCGTTACATATCCTCCCTCCTCTCGAAAGCGGCTTCCAGTGGCGCCAAACGTTGTGCTGGTCGTTCGAATATTCGGTCGCCGGCCTTTACTCGATAAGTTCGGATTACACCACGAGCGTCCGGGATTGTTTCGACAATGTTTCCGGTGGTCCACAATGATACAGGCAATCCTTTGTCCACCAATAGCACCTCATCACCCACTTGAACATGTTGATAATGTTTGATATTCTGATGATAATTTCTTAGGCTTTTGAGGTATATATCTCGATACGTTTTCCATGCCCCGTCCACCAATCGTTGCGTTCCCCTCCAATATTTTAACAAGCAACTAGGTTGTACCCCTCGTCGTGGTGGTGCCAATGATCCGTTACTACCAGCTCCGTACATCAGGTGATTCGGTGTGACAATAGTTGAATTATCATGTATTAACGGTCGGGCGTTCATTAAAGATTGAATTCGGTAAAGCACAAGTCGAACCATCGGGGGTTTAATGTCTTTTTTCCACATGATACTGTAAAATCCCTTCTTCATGGATTTTATAAGCGATTCAAAGAAGCCTCCTCGGAATGGTGCGGCGGGCGTATTGAATCTCCATTGGAAATTGTCTTTCAATACGGTATACGCTTCATTAAACATGTTTCCCAGTCGTTTAAAGTTCGTTCCATTATCTGAATATACTGTGGACGGAACTCTTCTAAGAGCCGCGAATATTTGAAAGGCGTCACATACACATTCGGCTGTCATATTTTCCAATACTTCGAAATGCACCGCCCGTGTGACGCAACACGTGAATATCATTCCAATGGTTTTCGGGTCGGTTTTCAGTTCAAAAATGTCCACTCCGATATGTTCAAAAGGATGACTTCTGTCCAATCGTGTACTGGGAGGATTACCGAGAGATACTTGCAATGGTTTAGCACGTAATTGGCGACATTTAGAGCATCGGTTTTTGATTTTTATGAATTGTTGTCGTGCGCGTGGTGTGAAATACTTCATTCGAAAATTGGCCAATGTATAATTCACCGAACCATGTTCATCATTTTCATGTGTACGTTCCATCAATGCTAACGTAAATTCACATGTCGGCAAAGCAATCAGGTATTTTTCGTCGTAACTCAAATCTGAATTCTCCAGTCGTGTCAAACATCGTACCAGGCCTTGATCATCACAAAATGTTGGAATGTGTTTGTCGAAATGGTCATCCAGGAACCTTCGTTGATTAATTTTGATTAATATGGTCAATTCATTCATAGTTTCATCGATGGATTTTTTCCAATCGTCAGATTGTTGTTGCACAAGCTCGATCCATTGGTTATAAGGTCGTTTGCTATCAAGATCAAATTTAGAAATATCATATTTTTCCGAGGAACCGTTCACCGTCAAACCAACACCAACTACCACATCTTGTAGTTCAATAATATCGTGATAATTTAATCGATGTAACTTCTTCAATTCGTCAACCGTCACTCCTCTAGTGAATGCATCAGCAGGATTGATTTCTCCTCGTATGTGTCGAATATCACTGATTTTTGATTTTATGTTGAACAAATGGACGGCCACAGGATACGGATATTTGTTCATGTCTTCTTCTAAACGTTTTACGTTATCCATGGAATCAGAGAACAATATTATGTGTCGAGCATTCACGAGATCTCCCAATGTTTTGGCTGTATTGGCACCGGCCGACAACGCCAAGAGCTCAGCACTTACAATCTTTCGTGGTTTGATCAATTTGGATTTGGCATAGATTAACGTTAGCTGCTGACCATTTGTTAGATAGCTTGCGATACCAATTGCATGTTGACTTGCATCGACAAACACCATTAAATCGAATTCTTCTACTGACTTGTCAAATATCCGACGGGGAAAACTGAATTGATCCAATCCTTTGATTTCGTGAATAATTTTCCGAGCTTTCTTCTGTAGATCTGGACTTAAGGGATCATCCCATTCGTAGCCCAATTTCCATGATTCATGTATCATCATTTTCAGCTTCAAGGTCGTTGCCAACACAAATCCGAATGGGTCGTAAATCGATGCGTGATACTTTAACAACGCCCGTTTTGTGATGTTTCCGCCATCAGTAAATTCGGGAATCAACACCCGCATTTGATCATCCTCGGTCCATTCTACGCCTAAGACCTTGGTTTCGGCAAGTCCATCACCCCAACGATCATTAAGGGCTTTGTCCGATGACCGCCACTTCCTCAACATCATTGATGCTTCAGCAAAGATCATCTGGCTATCACATTTTATCTGTTCAACTTCGCGTTGGTTGTTGGCAGAAAATATCAGGTCATCGACATACAGTCCATTAATTATCGCGTTCACCGTTTGAGGATATTTGGATCGATACTGCTTTAGATGATGCATCACCACTGCGTATAAAATGAACGGACTTGAAGAAAGGCCAAACGGCAGCCGATTGAACTGGTAACAAATCGTGTTTTCGTCGTTATCGATCCATAAGAACTTGACAAATTTTTTATGTTCGGGTTGTATTGCGATGTTGTGAAAGGCAGATTTTATGTCACTGATCACAGCTATGGTCTGTAAGCGGAAGAACAACAATGAGCGGATGATATACCAAGCTGTCACGCCTTTGAAAATGGCCTTGTTAAGTGGTTGTTTTCCGTTCGAGGCATTAAATACGATTCGCATTTTCGTGGTGTTTTATCATTGCGTGTGACCACAAAATGTGGCATATGGTATCCGTCATCGGGGTTGATTGCCACTTGTTCAACAATTTTATTTTGGACCAAATCGTCTATCAATTCTTGATATCCGGTTCGTCTTTCGTTTGTCATGTGTTTTACCATGCTCCACAACTGTTTCTTGGCCGCATCGAAATTTGGTTGAACTTTCACATTTGGGATAAACGGCAATTTTACTGAATATCTTTTTTCTTGTTGGTCGTACTTGACACTATCGCCGGTACAATAGTTTTCCAGGAATTTTTCCATGGCTTCTTTGTCTTCATCCTCGATGTCCACATCCAGTGCCGGTTCCACCGATAACGATTGATCGTAGCTCAACAGTACATTCGTTCGATTGGTCACCCCAAAGACTACCCAACCCATTGTGGTACGTTTAGCGATAACGTCATGCATTACTCGTCGTTCATCTGGAAGCTGAATCTTGTTGATGTTGTCAAGTCCAATTAACATGTCAACCGGACGTTGTTCGTCTTGGAAATCAATACCTTGTTGTCGTAGCTGTTTTTGCACGTCGATAGGAATACAATGAAACTGCAATTGGTCCAATTTATCGTTAAGTCGAAACCCGAGATTCTCGTGTTGTCCGCCCCACGTTGGCATCTCTATATGTACCATTTGATGACCAGTGGCAGTTGGTTTAGCGTTGCTTAAGGTGTCCATGAAAATTGGTTCAGCTCTGGATGCAACAAGATTCCATTCGTGTGCCACCTTGGAAGAGATGAACGAGGTCCCGGCTCCATCGTCAAACACAACTCGTATTTTTCGTCCATTAATTGTGGTAGTCAATGTTTTATGAAGACTTCGGCCAGCTGGTATCAATAACGTCGGTTGACTTGAGCTTTCTGAAGCTTCATTATTAGCGTTCGATGATGTTGGCATGGTTGGCGTTAACACACTTGGTTGATTATGTCGAAAACAAAACTGTGACGCATGTCTTCGCTGGCAGTGATTGCACTTCAGTATTTTTGGACACTCCCGGCCATTATGTCCACTTTCACCGCAACCAAAGCATAGTCGATTTGTAAACAAGAACTGCCGTCGGGCATCACCAGATAGTTTACATTCGTCAGTTTTATGATCACCATCTTGAAAGAAACACTTGTTGTTGGTTGTCATCATCACATTGTTGATGGGACGTCTGATCATCGATCGAGGCTTATCAGCCGTCGTCCATGGATTTTCGTCGAGCCGGCCACTTATGGCTGCTTTTCTCGCCGCACCGCGTTCGAGAAATTCTTCTAGCTGTGCTAGTTTTATTTTGTGGTCACCATCGATTTGTTGTTGATATACATCATCTACCTTGTACAATATATACGTCGTCATATTGTAATCTTCATGTAGCAGATTGGATGCGGCTAATGTATCACGAATTATTACCACTGTTTCCAGCCAGGTCGTCCAATCTTTGACGGTTGCTCTCTGTGACAAATGCGGTAACAATTTGATTTTATTTTTTAATGCTGGAATGATTTGATGTTCCGATGCGTAAAAATCATCGAGCTTTTTCAATGCATCTTCAATGCCTGCTTCGTTACGAATTACTCTGTTCAACAAATACCGGTGATGATTAGGCAGCAGATCTTGGATTTCGGTTAACTTGTTTAATCGTCCTTGAATTTGTGGATTTTTGATGATATAATGTAGTATGTCATGTCGAAATTTATAATAGCCGATGGGATCGCCATTGAATTTTGCTAATTTTTTCTTTTCGATCTTGACTCTGAACTCATCGCCACGTTGTGCGGTGGTATAACTGTTGATGCTGCCCTGCGATCGATTGGATGATACTGATTGCTGTTCGATTTTTTCCTTCCATTCGTATAGTTTCTCAAGCCAGTTGTTGTGATGGACATCCGAGAATGGAAATTTTCTTTCTGTATGCTTGATGAGTTCACATGCTTCTTCCAGATCTTTCCAATTTGGTGAAAACGACATTTCTTCTTCCATAGTCAAGACGGCGGATTGCAACTTTTCTACTGCTTTAGCGTAGCTGAACATTTGATCTACTTTCGATTGATAGCTAAACAGCTGAGCTAAGGCGGCTTTATCCGGTGACTCTTCATTGATTAGTTCAGCTGCTAGTTCGTTGAATTCAATGTACAATACCTCGACACCGCACAAATCTATTGGTTTTCGAAGTTTGAATACTTTTAATAACCACATGTCGATCTTCATTGTCATTGCGTTTACACGAGAATTGGTATTCATGTACTCGTCATCCACGATAGTGTCGTCGTTGCTGGTGTTGCCATTACTGTGATCAGTTTTGTTTGACGCGGTCTCTGTTGTCTTTTTTTGTTGTCCTTTGGCCATTGGTTGTCTTAGCTTCGAGCTGATGTTTTTTGGTGCTGATAACGAAATGTAACAGAAAAAACGAAAACGAACTCAGAACAGGACTGTTTGTTTAAAAGAAAACTTTATTGATGGAATAGAAAAGAACAAAATTGTAATAGATTAAAGTCAGTAATTGTGATATGAGTTGAAGAATAATTTATTGAAGGTTGATTGTTGACCAAAAAATTAAAACCAGAAGACGATTTTGGAAAACGTTGTTATTGATTCGATAGTATACGTGCGACGTGAGAAATGACCAGACCACTTTAAATCAATGGTGAATATCTGAAAAAACATGAAGACCAGAACATGAACACAAGAAAAATAAACTCAAGAAAACACAATACACAAACACGAGCATAATACTCACAAAAGATTCTAAAACTGCACCATCGTTTTTCTTGCGCTTTTATGTTGGCGTTTGTGTCAGCCGATGATGACAGTTCAAGCTCTGTCTTTCTCCGGCTGATGGACCCCTTCAAATAATCCGTTACATTAGTTAGTTGGTTGGTTGTTTAGTAAAAGTTTCATTTTTTCATAGTTCTTCCTAAAATTTATCTATCTAGATAAATGTCTTGGCTTAGATTTAGGTTCTCTATGATGATGATCTGTCCATATGAAGATGGTCACCACTATCAGTTACAATAACCGAAATCCATTTTCTGTGTGTGTGTGTGTGTGTAAATCAACCAATCAATTTTTTTTTCTTTTGTCTTTATATTCATTTCCATTCTTTGAATAATAATAATACGACGACGAAGACGACGACGACGAAATAGTTCTGTATGTCTCTTTCTCTCTATAATAAAGATTAATGATCGAGATCATCGTTGTATGTGTCTCAGGAATGAATCCTCTTCGTTGAAGATGGGCGGCCATTTAAGTAAAGAAAGAAAAAGTTTAAGTTTTTCAAACAAAAGCTTTCTTCCTCCGGCTGAAAAAAAACAAAACAAAACAAAACAAAAAGATATAGTCATCATCTCTTTTGCTATTTAAAAAACATTTGTTAAGAGTAAGAAAAATCGATAGTATCGATTCCTCTTTTTTTTCTTCAATAATAATATTCCTGTGTATTTTCCAGAATTTTTTCTTTTTTTTTTTATTTTGTTATTCAAAAAATACTTTTCGCCAACCAAAGAATTGCAAGAGAAAAGATTTTTTTTTCAATTTTTAAGAAAGAAAATTCCATTGCCGTTATTTTTGTTTGTTTTGTTTTGTTACGGCTACGCGGCTACGGCTACGGCTATGCTATGCAAAAAAAGAGAATTTGATTGAAAAGAAAAGAGAAACGAATGTTAAACACCAAATTTTCGAACTGGATTTTTTTTTTTTTTTGGTTTCAAAAGAAATTGTCTCTTCAGAGATTTCTTATTGTTTCGATTTTTTTCTCGTTCTTTCTTGCTCGTTTTATGCAATTAAACTTATCGTAGAAATTGTGAATGAATGGATAAAGATGACACATGTGAGAATGTGTGTGTGTGTGTGTATGGTGTAATGAATTTGGTGATGATTGGCAAAGAATGAATTACATTAATAGAAAAAAAGGAAAGCTAAAGCATGAATGACAAACAGTTTTTATCTGAATGTGATGAAATGAATGTCTTGATTTTCATTCATTTTGTTTCGTTAAAATGGAAATGTTTGAATTGAAATATTCATTAAAATAAATTACCAGTTTTGCCATTTTGATTCGTTCATCATCATCATCAACTATATCCATTTGGCATGTTAATATCCCGCGGATGGAAAGCAGCAGCAGCAGCAGCAGTAGAAAAAAAAAGACACTTACATTCGAAAATTATCGCCATTTTTTTTGTAAATGGATGAGTAAAAAAAAAATAATCAAATTAAAATTCAATTTCTATGAGAATTGTTAAAGACGAACAAAAATCAAAAGAAATCCCATCATCATCATGATAGATAGATTCTCTTGTTGTTGGAATCATTAGATATACATTTGGCACACACACACATATATATAAACGGCTGTCGCTATCGAAATGTTTGGTACAAAATATGATGTTGCACCAAAATCTTGGATCGATTAATCGACAATAATTTTATCCAAAAAAAAAATAAAGAAATATTGTAACAAATATTTTGTTTGTTTGTTTGTTTTTGGAGATTTGATTCGGATTCAGGTCCGTTTTTTATGTGTCTGCCCCTCCATTGATGTATATTCAATTGAAGAATCGATTTTTTTTTCGCATTCATTCATTCATTCATTCTTTCTCTATATGATCGGGCTATTAGGTCCGTTTTATTGATGTATATTTTTTGGTGTGTGTGTGTCTGGGTGCTGCTACGACGACGGTGATTCAGCGAATTTTGTTTGTTTGAAATGTGTGTGTGTGGAAATCATTCGTAACCAAATGAAAATGTTACTTACATACGCCAGCAACCAACCAACTAACCATCATTTATCATTGCAGAATGTATATTTCACAATGCAACTTAAATGGTCAATTGTCTAATCATTTTCTTTTCTTTTGTTTCGTGTGTGTGTGTGCTGATGTAATGCTGATGTATTTTAATGAAATCGAGAAAAAAAAATCAATTTGATACTTTCGAAAATGTTATCCGTTTCCGGTTTTCATTTACAAAATGATTAGTATTCACAAACACACACACACACACACACTTTTCTCAGCAACTAATAATAAACTATCTACTATGACACTGGGATCCAAAAAAAATAAAATTGAAATATTTGCTTTTGAAATATCATCGTTCATGTTTTTTTTTACTTCCTCTGTGTGGATCTCTCTATCCCAGGGTGCTCTGTGTAAATTGATTTATACGTAATTTTTTTTTCTCCAGTTGCATTGATTTTTATTCTTTATATCTATCTGGTATGTTGTTGTGTTGTTGTTGTTGTTTTTTTTAGTTTCACGATTCTTTTTTTTATTAATAATGATGATGATGTTGATAATAATAATGAACTACGACATCCATCATCTAGAGCTCAACACACACACATACAAACATACTTGGCTTTTATTATCATCATCATTTTTTTCGCTTGCTGGTTTTATTCTGTTATTATCATTATTCACAAGGAGAGAGAGGACACAATGTGTTTTGATCGATCTAAAACGAGTGTGTTTGTGTTTGTGTGTGTGTATTTGTGATGTCAAAGTGTTATTAGTTGATCCCCAGTGTGTGTGTGTACGACGAGTGTGTTTGTATGTGTATATGAAATCCATAATCGGTGCAAAAGAATTTATGAGAAAATAAAAAAAAATCATACATAATGCCATCATACATAAAGCAAAAACACACAGGATTGACTGACTTAAATGACAAATCCTATATATGATAAATTTAACATAATAATAAAACATATATATAGTGGAAAAAAAAGAAAGTGATGGAAAATGTGGGTAAAAAAATAACTTGTTATACACAATAGCAATTCCTAATAAAGGGAATGACAAAATCACTGAATGAATGGATGGATGGATGGATAGATATGGAAAAAGGTACAGAAAAAAAAGGCAGAAGAAGGATAAAAAAATCTCATGTGAATTTTTCTTTTGGAGATGTGTGTGTGTGTGTGTGGTGATTCAATTCTATTTGTAAATTGTTTCATTTTTTTTTTGTTGTTGACAAAACGATGATGATGAAAATGATGATTTTTTTTCCATTTGAAAATAATAATATTATGGACTGTAGACGCACATTACATTAAAAACATCACCAATTCCAATAGATTTTTTTCATTATTTTAGTTTATTTATAATCCAATTTTCACCATCTTTAAATTGATGATGATGATGATGATGAGAGTTGGTCACAGATTCTTATCTAGTTTTTTTTCTCTCTCTCATTGTCATTTGTATGGTGTGTAGTGATTGCTGTAATTGTGTGTCCATGATGATGATAATTGCATGAAAAAAAGAAGATTATTATTATTATTACAAATAAAAAATGTCGACAATTTTCTTTTCTTTCTTTTTTTTTAACAAACATCATCATCTCGTTTGTCCATGTCAATTGTCGTCATATTTCTTCGTAACAACGGCAACATCTTTTTTTTGTTGGTTTGTTGAAAATAAGATGAAATTTTTTATTTTTTGCTTTTTGCTTTCCAAGTTGGAACAATTTTTATTTTTATTTTTCACTAAAAAACAATTTCCGATGATGATGTCGCTCTGGTTTTTTTTCGGTTCGCAGATAATTTTTTTGATTTTTTGTTCTCTGTTTAAAAACATGGATAAATAGACGAGAGCGAGAGAGAGAGAGAAGGCAAGACAAGAATTTCATTTGAAAATCATCATCATCGCAAATTCAGTCATTCATTTTTGGTCAGTAATAAAAAAAAACCAGAATAAAGTTCCAAGAATTTCTTGAAAAGAAAAATTTGTAAAACAAAGAAAAACTGGATATATTTGGACAAAAGCTGTCGTCCAAATACAAGTATGTAGCTTTTATGATTTTTTTTTTTTAATTTTCAAGCACATTTGTCGTATCCCGAATATTAAAGATTGGATGGATATTGAAAAAAAAGAAATAATTCAAATTATTACGGCACAACCACCATCACCACCACCATCATCAAATTGTTGAATTTTTTTTCCAAGAATATTATTATTATTATCCTCATTGAATAAAGAAGAAATGAACAAATTCTTTGTTGTTGTTGTTGTTGATGATGGTGGTGGTAGCGGGTGGACTGTGTGGTGTACGGGGGAGGAGATGCTTTTTCGTGTTTTAGATATAATGGTCACATTTGTTTTATTGTGAGTGTGTGTGTGTGTGTACATTGGTTTTCTTTGTTTTTTTTTCTCATTCTTGTTGTAAAATGAATTTCTTTGCTCTCTGGATTATGGTTTTTATTATTTTTGCCGATACACTACTACTCAGAACTCATTTTGAATGAGATTTTTATTCTTTTTATGTGTACAAAAGCAGTGGCAGGCTATTCCATGATTATTACACATGATTTCGGCTGGGTGAATGTGAATTTTGTTTGTTTCTATCATCTTCATCATCAAATACGATATATGAATTTGTGGCAATGGCTATTAAATTTTTTTTTTTGGTCTTCTTAAAGCCATCAAACAACACATATACCATACACAGCCATAGAATATTCATTGAAAAAAAGTGTAGAATTTAGAATAATTTTAAAAAATTTTTAGTTTACGAATTGTTACTGTTTGTCGGTTGGTTTGGTTTGTTGTTACTGTTGATGTTACAATATTATAGAATAGAATGATGGAATAAATGAAAATCCGTTATTCTTGTACGGAATTTATTCATTCATTCAAAATATAATGTGTGTGTGTGTGTGTTTGATATGTGTGGTGGTCATGTTACGCGTCATTTGTATCATTTTATTATTATTGTTTTTTTTCATACATCTAGATTGTGTAGCGAAATCAAAAACGAGTCAAAAAAAAAATATCCATAATAAACATCGTTATTTTTTATGAATTTTTTTTTGTTCATTTTGCTCATTCAAATAAATGAAAATTTTTCAATGATTATGATGATGATGTTTTCATTTCAATTGTGTAACACAAAACGAAAAAGAATCAAATATTGAGAATCTAGCCAAAAAAAAAACAATATCAATTTTGGGTTACGGAATACGAAAATGGGTTATGTTTTTTTCTTCTAAATCTACCGTTTTTATCAATTTTTTTTTCTAAATAAACGAATAAAAGAAAGAAAGAAAATATGTAAATGTCAAAACCAGAGAGAGTGAAGAAAAAAAGACATCTCAATGAAACGCGGACGCGAATGAATGTGTTCATGCATGCATGCATGAATGAATGAATGAATGAGAAAAATTTTAACAAATGACCAAATCTGAGATTTGTGTGTACCAAAAAAAATGGTCTCATAAATCTTGTAAAAAATTTTTTTGATCATTAGAATTGATCGTTTGGTTTGTGTTTGTGTTTATTCCGTGACAGTTTTACCTTGTTATTTCTTCCATTTTTTTTTAGGTAATGGATACGATCATCATTTTGATTGAAGATGAATTCTTTTTTTGTTGGTTGTTTTTTTTTCATCTAAAGTAAACTTTTAATTTTTTTTTTTTTTTGTCATTTTTTTTCTCATATCAACCATATAATCAATGAGTATAACATCTGTTTCAATTATATAATCATCATCGTCATTATGTTGTTTGTTTTGTTTTTTTTTTTTTTTTGGCTGTCATTTTCGATGGTGTGGTACGATGGATCTACTGAAAAAAAAATCCAATGAGCGATAATCATAAAAAAAAGTTGAATAAAACATAGAAAAAAAACAATTACCCAATAGGCAATTGCGTGCAATAATAAATAAATATCAACAAGAAGAACAACAAATTCAAAAATAAAACCCCTACAACTATGATGACCACCAAACACATACACATCAAGCAATATTCAGGAAACTTTTTTTTGGTCCTACTACTAATGATGATAGATTGTTGTCATGTAATGTTGTTATTGGTTGAATTCATTCATTTTTTGGGGGGGGCAATAGATAAAAGTTTGAATAAATGAATGTATAATCAAGCTTAAAAAGACACACAAACAAACAATTTGATTCGTCCTGATGATCATGGCACTGAATTCTTGTTACTGTTTGTGTGTGTGTGTTTTATACAAATGAATTCAACAGAACGAAAAAAAAATCCGGTTAATATTTTTCATTTTTGAATTCTGGTTCTAGATTATTATTATTTTTTTTTTTTTTTTGCTGTTTATCATCATCATTTTTATTATTTACAACAATTCATTTCTATATCTCATCCGGTCAGTCGATTCATCTTCGTATTTTTTTTTCTCTCTCTCTATCACTATCTTTTGCTCTGATTCTGGTTCATGTATTTATGAAAATAAATGATTGTCGAATATCCGATTCGAGAACGAGAGAGATAAAGAGAAGAGGAAAAAATTGTTTTCCAAAAAAAAAAAAAAAAATGAATTATGCTAAACGCAAAATACATTTTTTTACATTTTTGAAAAAAATAACATCACAAAGTAATGTAAAAAAAAAAAAAAAAAAAAGACGAGAGAAGAATTATCGAATGGAAAAAGATAGTAATCAAATATAAAATCCAGAATAGAGAAAAAAAAGTTTGGGGTTATTCTGGTGTGTTACCAATCGCCCATTCACCAATCAGTGGAGAAAAAAAAGCTTATGTTTGCTGCTTGATTCTTGATTGAGCAAAACATACATACACACACACGTCCACCCCCACCCCCTACAACCATAAAGATGGTCGATTTTTTTCATAATCAAATAGTAGTAACTATATTGTCGATTGTAATATGTAGTATACCATTGGGGGGTAGTGGGCGGTCGCCCAGGGCCCATGGAATGGTTGATCCGCTACTGTATGTAGTACTTATCATTAATAATAATCCAGTCGTTTTTTTGGGATTTTTCCATCGAAATGTTCGAAACCACCGCCGCCACCCACCCTCTTTATCTTTCATAACATCATATTATTATTTCAACTCTAGCTCTAAGTCTATAAGATGAACATTACGAGCATCCAAAAAAAAAGATACGAATCACAATCTGTTTTGATCTGTGATTCGTTTTCGTTTTTTCTTGTATTTTTTTTTTTTTTTTGGATGGAAATAAAAAACGGAGTGTAATGGTGGGGGGGTGATAAAAGGAAACAAGAAATTTGTGTTTGCTAATTCTAATAACTACTACTTGCCCATTATATTACTGAAACATTCGAAAACGACTATGACGACGACGACGACGACATTCCGTACAACCACGGGACAATGATGATGATGGTTTTTGTTGTTGTTATTTTGGATCATTTAATTTAATAAATCATCATCTTGTTGTTGTTGCTGTAGTTTGGAAAATGTCGCCATTTTCGTTTTTTTTTTACTCACTGATCAACATTATGGTGATTATCATCATCATTGTGGTCCAGTTTTTTCCTCCACTTTCATTTTGTGGATTATTAATTGAATCTTTTTTTTTTGCTTGTAGATGAATAAAAGAATCTCGGACACACACCATCAAATCTTTGGTGTGTGTGTGTGTTTGTGCGTGTATGTTTCGAAATGAAAATGAAAACTTTTTTTGTTTTGTTTTATTTCTGATTCCAATTTTCAAATGTGACAATAACTGTTATTATTAGAATTGAAACATACATACAAACACACACACACTGAACACAATCATTATAATTAGATAGATACAATGTTTTTTTTCCTAGCGTATGGCAATTTGCTAATTATATCCGTGTTTCTATTTTTGTTTCCCAATACAGATCATCAATTCAAACGAATCGTACATCTTGGGAAGAATTCTATATGGACATTAATGAACGGGAATTATATCCGGAAAATAGTCAACCATTGAAACGATTATTACGTGATATGGCCATGTTGGATATTGTTCATGTTGGTAAGTTTTTTTTTGTGTGTGTGTGATGAGGGAGAGAGTTTCAAATCAAATTCAACAAAACACACACACACACAACCATTTGATTCTGTTATATTTTTTTTTTTTTTGTATTTTACGTTTATCCACGCTTGATTGGGCTGATTTTTTTTCCACTGGTCTTATGATGATAATGTTGATGATTCATTCAGTTTTTTTTCAGATTCTGTGTGTGTGTATTAAAACATCATTTACTCACTAAATACTATGGTTGGTTGATGAGTAGATGATGATGGTAGTTTTAAAAAAAGTTTTTTAATTTCTTTCAAAAGTTTTTTTTTCTTCCAAAAAAATTTTGAACCACCACTTATACACTACTACTGATAAAAAAGAGACAAGAAACGATTGTTTCAACACCATAATCGAAAGCAGAAAGAAAAAGAATTTGGTGGACTCTTAGAAGAGAAATAATGGTTTTTTGAACAAAAAAAAAAAATCAATTGAAAGAATAGGATATGAGAGGCGGGTAAAGAATTTATATATAATAGATAGAATCCTTGAATCATTTCCCCATACTACTTTTTCCATTTTGGTAATTTCACTTTGAAGATTCAACCTTATTCCGTATTTCGTTTTTTTTTGATGTGTAGAACTCAATTAAAGAGACCATGCAACTACGAAAAAAAATGAAGAGATTCCCTTTTTAACACAGACCAGATTTTCACATTAGAGAATCATGATGTTGTTGTTGTTGTTGTTTGAGAAAGAGAAAACTAAAAACAAGGAGACTCCCCATTGGTTAATATAATTTCAAACCAAATCACAGGATCCAGAATAAAACTTTTTTTTCTTTTCCATTATTATTATTATTATTCGTCATTATCGTATTATGGAATGTGTTATTATTTGTTTATTCATATCTAAATAGTGAATTTAAAGAAGAAAAAAAAAAATCTTTAGAAGGAAATACAAAACAAAACAGTTTTTTAGGCTGAAAACAAAAATCATCATTTTCACATTTAATGATGAAGTGTTTAAAACATTTTTGGAGGCAAATCCATTTTTTTGTTGTTGTTGTTGGTGGTGGTGGTTTGAGTGGTTTACAATCATCATCATTTCCCTAAGATGTGTGTTTATTCATTGGCCAAAAAAATGATGATAAAAACTTTTTTTGATAACGAAAGATTATTATTATTATTATTAAGCACACTTTTCATCATTTTGTTTTGGTTTTAATTTTCGTTGACGTTTTTGTGTTTTTTTTCTACTGATAATCATCTTTTTCTCCGTCTGTTTTTCTCACTGTCAAATTTCATTAATATTTACAGCATTATGAAAATGTTATCTCAATTCAATTTGTTCGAAAGATCGAAGAAAAAAAATTTCAATTTCAATTTAAACCAGGGGAAAGATAAATATATTTTTGACATCTTAGGTATTATTATTACATGATTGCATGTGTTTTTTTTCCGCTCGTGTGTGTGTGTTTGTGAACATCCATTAAGTTAATCAAAAATTTAAAAAAAAACAAAACAAAACAATGATTGAATGATGAGTCCGAACCGCATAGACAATATAATATTTTTCATGCTTTTGTTTTTTGTTTTTATAGCACAAAAAGAAGGTGGTACACAACTTAAATTGATCATCAACTATGAGAATGAAGGAAAAGCACTGTTCAAACCAATGAGGTATGTATTGTTGTTGTTGTTGTTGTTGTTTTTTGAAGAATTATAATCTGTTATCATTTATTTTCCATTAATATAGATTTTCTCGTGATAAAGAAACTGATCCAAATCATTTTTATTTTACCGATTATGAACGACATAATGCAGAGATTGCTGCATTTCATCTGGATAGGTAAAAAATGAATTTTTTTCGAAAATGGAGATTAAACTTTTTTTTTGTTGTTGTACACACAGAATATTAGGATTTCGTCGTACACCACCAGTTATTGGTCGTATATTGAATATTACATCCGAAATATATGCTATTGCCGATGAAGATCTCATCAAAACATTTTTCATTTCACCAGGTAATTTGAATTAATTTTTCAGTTGTTGTCATTCCACTAATCATAGAACAGGTGTGTGTGTACGTTGCTTACCTAAACGGATTTCATTCAGATCAAACAAAAAAAGCTTTGAAACTAATTTTCTTTTTTTATATTTATATATCCTACATATTCAATTAGAGCTTATTGTGGCCACACACACACATGCACACACACTTATTTGCCACTAATGAATATGTATGTACCACAACTCTATGATGATGTTCATTGAATCAAATTACCTTTTTGTGTCTCAGGTATTTGTGGTACTGAAAATAAAAAAAAAGTTTTAGAATCTCGTTATCATCAATAAAGAGATAAAGGACAAAGTGTGGATGCCTTAACAACAATGTTTTTTTTCATTCATTCAATTCAATTCAATTCAAACATGCACCAGATTCCTGTGTGTGTGTGTTCATTTCATTTACAACAACAACAACAACAACAACAACATTCAAATACACACATTGTATATTTGATCACAAAAAAATAGGGGAGAAAAAAAATATTCTGTCTCAAGAGAATCTATTGATATACAATCTTCCTATCGTTATTGGATAAAAAAAATGAAATTTGATGTTGTCCATTCTTGTTCGTGTGTGTGTGATGATTCATGAATCTCTATCATGTCCAGCCATGTCTAGTTTTGTTTTGAGAAATGAATATTTTTTGCTTGTATTGTTTTCTCGTGTGTATGTATTTCTCTGTGTATACATGAATGAATACATGTTACACAATATCCAGTTACTTGGTGTGCGTTTTTTTTTGTGACTATGGTCCATTGTTTAATTAATTTTTTCTTTGTTTAACAAAATCGCAGACAAACACAAACACACACACGCACACACATATGAGCATTACAAAACAACAAGAATTTTTTTTTCCTAGGCAAAAAAGCTTTTTTTTTATTTGATCATTGGTAATGATCATCAATGAATGATGACCATGGTCGTCACATACAAACACACACACACACACACGCATACACAATTCTTCGTTTATAGAATAGTTGAACTGCCTATGAATATACTACTAGAATCTACTACTAAACAGAAAAAAACTTCCCCTCTCGTTTGATGCCATATACGGCTGTTACCATGTGTCAATTAGATTCATTAGTTTATCCCCTTGAAAAAAAGGGGATAGCTAGAATTTGTGTATAAAAGAGAAAAAGTTATTTACCAGATTAATTAATTGCTTTCTTTTTTTTGTTGTTATTGTTATTCTGATTTTGATATTCATTCACTATGGTCACTATTTTTTTGTTGCATTCGATTTTGGCCAATATTACAACAACAACAACAACAACAATTCAACAATGGTAATTCTTCATAGCCAATAATTTGTGTTTTCATGGCAAATGTGGTTATTACTGTGATACTGCACATGCAATCTGTGGCAATCCTGATACAGTTGAAGGAAGTTTTGCTGCCTTCCTACCATCCAAAAGTATTGCTCCAAGAAAGGTTTGTTTATTTTATTTTTTTAATCAATAAATTTTTTAATGTTTTTTTTCCATTTTTTTATATTATACAATAAAACATAGGTCTATAGACATCCATATAGACGTTCATATCATAAACGTCGTCGTGCAACATGGGAAAATGATCCTGATTACTGTGATAAATATGTACGACACGCGCCACCATACAATCATGGTCGTCGTCTTGCCGATCTAATGGATATGGCTGTATTAGATTTTCTTATTGGTAATATGGATAGACATCATTATGAAACATTCAAAACATTGGGCAATCATTCATTTATAATTCATCTTGATCATGGTAGAGGGTAAGAGATTATTTTTTTATGTTGATAATAATAATAATAATAATAACAAGAAAAACACAACCATTCATTCAACCGCCAATTATGTTTGTGGTTGAATGAATGGTTGGTGGTTAACTTTTCCACACCTCTCTACTCTACTATCATCATTATACATTATATTATTACATATTTTTTTTACTAATCATAATATATATCCTACACATCAATTCACATATCATTTTCTTTTTATAATAATTGATTAGATTTGGTAAAGCACATCATGATGAAATATCAATATTGGCGCCCATTATACAATGCTGTATGATACGTAATAGCACATTACAACGATTGATCGATTTACACAATGGTCAAACGCCATTAAGTGGTTAGTAATATCGTATTTTGTGTGATGCAAGATTGATTCTAATTTCATTATTTTTTTTTTTTTTTGATCATCTCATCTTTTATTTTCATTTATAAAACATAGAACTAATGAATAAATCGTTGAACATGGATCCCGTATCACCAATATTAACTATTGATCACTTGTTGGCATTAGATCGACGATTACCAATTATATTGAATGTTGTACGTGAATGTACACGTAAACGACCATTTCAAGATGTTATCATTAGTGATGGCTATTGATTATACTTAAAAATACGATGATCTGCTATTTCAATCATTCAATTCAGTCTAATATTAATCTCAATTTTCTTCATAATTTCTTCTCTGACCATTGTTATGGATGATGATAAGGACAACTTTGGGTGAAGGACAATTGTTTTTGTTTTCTTGAACCAATTTCGAAAAAAAATCCATTAAATTTTTGTTCTCTCAACAACAACAACAACAACGACGATAACTTTGATGATGATGACGACAATTTAACGACATTTTTTTTGTCAAAGATGAAAATCTTGTTTTTCGACTAAAAGAATCGATCAAAATTCCGCCCTTTCTTGTTTTTTCGATACATTCTTTGGTCATTTGTCGATCCACCATCACCACCAACCACCATCACCCATCATCAAATGGAAATTGGATAAAAAACAAAAAAATAAATGAATGAATGAATCATTCGATTCTTTCTATGAAGCATTAGTTTGGCTGAATCGATTCGAACAAATGACAAAGGAATCGTTCTACAAAATAGTGTGTGCTGTGGATGGACATTCGAAATTAGCATCATTGTTTTTTTTCTGGCAATTCACACTCCTGTATAACTTGTATATAAAAAAAATAATTCCAATTTTGCTGTGATATGGATGCAGCTTTCAATATATAAAATTTCTTTATCATCATTTTCAATCGTTCACCCCCACACACACCCCCACACACACACCCACACTCACACTTCACACATACTGATATGATTCAGATTTATTCTTTTCATTTTTTTTTTTTTTGGCAATTATTATTATCAAGTCAAACAATTTCTGGTCTTTTTCATATTTTTCATCATCATCATCATCATCATCATCGCCAGCCAACCAACCAACCAACCAACCAACCATTGAACATCATCATCATCAACAACAACAACAACAATCAGTGAGCCCGAGAAAAACAACATGATGATGAAGATGAAGAAATTGAATGGCAAAAAAAAAATGTCGACAGATGATGACAAAAGATGCGCGCGGAACCATTATAATTATTAATTTAATGTCATCATTAACGGTTGATTATTGTTATATGGTATGGTACCGTTTGTTGTCATTGTCGTTCAATGCTTCATTCTTCTTCTCTTCTTCAAGCAAGAAAAAAAAATGATGAGCACATTTTTTAGTCAACCAACTTTACAAGAAAAAATTTTTTTTTTTTTTTTTTGGTTCATTTGTATGTTCTTATTCTCACCAAATAATTTAATGATCATATTTATGGATGATGTTTAGGAGACAGAGAGTGAAAAAAATGGAACCCATTTGTAATCATTTTGTTGAATGATTTGTTGTTTGTAATTATTCTCATTGCATTTTTCTTCATCTTCACACACACACACACACACAAAAATATTCATACAGCGAATTCAGCCTTCAGAATATAGTATAGTTCTAGTGGTTGTTGTTGTTGTTGTTTCTTTTCCATCATAATTCTAGCCCAAGAATTTTTTTTTTTTTTTGGTCGATTCCTTTTCACTTGTAGTTTTGACAATTTGTTTTTATTGTTTTCTTTTATTGTTGTTTATGGTGATATTATTGTTGTTTTTTTTTCTGTGCACACTTGATTCCATGTTTTTTTTTCACAAATTTTCATTTTAAATTCTATTTTTTTTCGATTTGTCTTATTTTGTTGTAATAATAGCGACTGCTGGCTGGTTGCTTAGGCCATTTACACGAAAAAAAAACCACACATGAACAATAAATAATAAAAATTTATTTTTGTAAATATCATAAGATAATGATGAAATGATTAAAAAATGATTTTTTTTTTTTGAATTATAAAATTTGTAAAAACATTTTTGTTTCGATTTTTTTTATTTCGAATGTTGAATTCGAATTTTTTTTTTGTTTTGTTGAAGAGGATGCTCATGCTGCCATCTGATATCGAATGTGTGAGAATTTTGATATAAACATTCCTGATTACACTCGTGTTTTTTTTTCATAGAAGGTGACTTTGATGATCACCGTCTTATTATTTTTTTTAATGTATAATCCAATTATAATTGGTGCAATTCAACCTGTTTCTGTTATGGTAATTTATCACTAATTTTTATACCATTAGTTTTTATAATAAGTTGACATATGTTTAAAAATTTAATTCTGTAAGTTGTCATTGGATTGCAATTTTTAAATTTAAATTTTAAATGGCTCTATTTTTTTACACTCTATCCAGATGTTTTTATCGTTATTTTGATACAAAGGAAAAAATGACATATTGAATTTTTTTTTAATCTCAAATTTTTTCTTCATTTTAATCGTGTGGTAAGTGATGTGTGGTAGACATTCATGCTAGACTTAATTGAATCAATATTTGTTTATTGATTGAAATCAAATCCATTTAATGACAATCAGTTCAAATTTGTCCAAGGCTTATGACACCATTTTCATTCATTGATGAATGTGAATGAAAATAAAAACAAAAAAAAAAGAACTAAACGGATGTCATTTATCACATGTGTTGGATTATTAAGGCTACTGGGTGGTATTGACAATGCTTACGAAAGAATAATTTGTTCACTTTATCATTTCGTGCATATCATCATCATCATCATCTTGGTTGGTACAAAAAAAATGTTGACTTTAATCTTATCCCAAATCAAAAGTTTACTTTGGCCAACGAAAAAAAAACCGGTTCCAAAGCAAAAGATCTTATTACAAAATCCAGAAGGCAAATGTGTTTGTACAAAGAAAACTGGTCGATGATATTTTTTTTTTTTTTTTTGCACGAAATAAAATCATGATAAATTCGGGCAATAACAGTGGCAAAAACCCATATGATGATATGATACGATGATATGAAACAAACAACAATATTTATGTATGATAAACCTAATAAGGTTTTGTCACATTTTTTTTCAGTAGCCTATTACGCAATAAAAAAAATGCATAATAGAAATAATTTCAAATTCAGAGAATAATTACCTGTTTTTTTTTTTTTTCATCCAGATACAAAAAATATTATCTCTTTAAACGAACTTGTTTTTCTAAAATTGGAACAAAACCCGGTGATGCATAGTGAAAATGGCGAAAGCCAGTCAAAATTTTCATCCAATACTCATCATCAAACAACTTCATCCTTTCGATCATTCACTTTTCGATTGAACAATCCAAACATTCAATTTCCATTGATAACGATTCATCCGATTGTGATTCCACGGTTTTCCATCAAACATCCATTCCGATCTGAACAGATTATGGAACAAAAAACCAAAACAATGACTAATCGTAATAATGATGATAATAATAATAATGGCCATGATATTGAATATCTACTCATGTTGCCATCTGAGCAGTCTACTCTAAATGAAAATAGTGATATATCATCGATAGTGAGTTCAAGTAAACTTTCATCATCTGTTTCGAGACGGTTCATTAAGGCTTCAGAGGTTTTATCATCATCATTTTTTTCAGTATCAACCATATTTGGGTATCGTCATTTTTTTCTGGTTTTTTTATCATTTTAATAACATTATTATTCCTAATATGGGATATCCTCGCCGCATTTGAAAAAAATGTACAAATCAATGTGGCAATTGATTTTTGTTTCTTTGATTTGATCATTGTCTCTTCAGATATAGTGTAAAGGCCGATAAACATCACATGCAGCGTCATGCGAAATATGAACGGCATTGAAATAGTATCAATTTCTATTTTGTCTAAATCATTAGTGATAAGATTCTCACACTTTTTCATTTGGTGACCATCATAATTAGAGTTGATGATAAGAAAATTTTTTTCTCTAGTATAAGATTAGCGGCAAACACGCTGTTAAGATGCATTAAGCCTCATTGAGCCCTTGAACACGTTTCATCATTAACAAATAATCAATTCTTTGAATTAATATTTGACTAATGATGGCCAATTTTCAGACATCGTTTGGTTCCAATGAAACCGAAAAATTACTAGTCCAATACCTCAACGAACGTCCGATGCTCAAATCTTTTATGGTCGGTTCATTAAGTGGAACATGTTCAACGCTTTTGTTTCAACCATTCGATTTGCTCAAGACCAGAGTGCAAAATGCCCACTTATCTTCATTGGCAATTAGTCGTAACCAAAGTGTTCCAGCATCTGCTATGCCATCAACTCGATTCGTTACGGTGACATACGAGACAATCAAAAATGAACAGATTATTGGTTTGTGGCGTGGTACAGCACCGGTATGTATTTTCATGTAAATTTTTTAAAAAAAAACAATAAATTCTTATTTATTTGTATTTAGTCGCTACTTCGTTGTGTCCCTGGTATTGGTATTCATTTCTGTTGTTTGGACACCTTACAAAGCCATTTCTGTCCAGATCGTCGACCATCAGCTATTGAAGCCATGACATTCGGCATGATGTCCCGTAGTATTGCAGCTGTATTACTCATACCAGTTACGGTAGTTAAAACACGTTATGAAAGTGGTTCTTACGCCTACCAAAGTATCGTCGATGCATTAAGGCATACATATCGTAATGAAGGTCTCCGTGGATTGAAATCCGGCCTATTGCCAACATTAATGCGAGATGTTCCATACTCGGGTCTATACTATATGTTTTATTCACAAATGAAAAATTTTATGCTAACCAAAAACGCAGATGAAATTCAGCGAAATTCACAACAGTATTCGAAGATCATATCATCATCATCCATTACATTCGCATGTGGTGTTTCGGCGGGTCTTTTAGCATCCGCTGTCACACAACCGATGGACGTGGTTAGTATCCATATTTACTGATAGATTGCACACAAACCAAACGCTAAAATAGATATCAATCAATCAATTATCGAAAGTTACAAATATTGTCTATGTGTGAGCTCTTTAGTCTAATTAGTTGATAGCAATGAGGATCAATTTTCAAATATTATCATACAAAATGGACCTGATTATACAATTTGATTGACGTATTTTCACATTTTTTAATCATCTTTAAAACAGGTCAAAACTCGAATGCAAGTCAACACGAAACAATATCCTTCTTTCCTTAAAACAACCCTATCAATTGTGAAAGAAGAAAAGATACGTGGTCTATTCGCTGGTTTGGTTCCCCGAATGATGCGTCGAACATTAATGGCTTCGATGGCGTGGACTGTTTATGAACAAATGATGAGAAGCTTATGTCTCAAATGACATCTATAAATGTTATAAGTGCCATAATTATTTATTTTATTAAAAAAATCTATCAAAAAAAAAACAAAAATTGCTTATTGTATTGGTCGCAAACATTTTTTCTTTGGTGGAATTTTCTAGTTCATTTTCGAAACACCAGATGATGTCTTAACACCATCTGTGGACAAAAGCAATAACTTGAAAGTCACAAAAACGAATATTTATGTATATACAGACGGTACACTACTTACGAATAAACTTCTAGATAATTTTTTTTTTAAATTCGAAATGAATTTCGACTTCCATAAATTAAAAAATAAAATATCGACAATAAAATTATAAATGTTTAAAAATAATTTATATTTGATCATCATCATGAATATAAAAACATAAAGAAAGACTAGAATGGTTTCAAACTAATGCTTAAGAAAAATTTAAAAATTACAAATTCACCAAGAAGACTGGATAATTAAATATCTGGATTTCGACAAGCATCATCGAAATACCAATGGTTGATCTCTTTGCTGGTTTGGAATGTATTTTTATCGTTGATTACATTTTGTTCTAGACGTTTACAGAGTTGGCAATATAAATTTGAATTCATATCTGATTCTGAATCGAGTGAATATTTTTTACGCCACTCGAAATAGGATAAATAAAGTTTCCTGTTACTGGCTATTTTCATGATTAAACGGGCCAATGTTTCTGGTTTCATTCGTGTGGCATCGATATACGAACCGGCCGGTAATATAGAAGAATAATTGGCACCACCGAAAACAATAGGAACAATGTCATAATTTAATACATTAAACAGTTTTTCAGTTACGTAATCTCTGTGGAAAAAATCAAATGACAATCAATTGAAATATATCAACGAATTTATCAACAAACTTACTTGCATAGTGAATTTTCGAATGATAAATAAAATAAATATTCACGTGCTGCTTTTTGATAACATTCATGTGAATGTGGACATTGAAATTTGCCACATTTACCATAAATATCTACCTGTACCATTCGTGATAATTTTTGAACATAATTTTCTCGATGACTTTGCGTATGACAATTACTGACAAACCAAACGACTGGTTTGATTTTATATCGAATATCAATGTTAGATTCTAAATCAAAATCATGATTACGAGCAATTAGTTGTCCATATGGCACATAAATGTCTGAATCATGACGATAAGTAGCGGTCAGATTGAAAATTAAATCATCTCTATCTGGTAACAGCGCCGTATTAGGTGGAGCTTCTAAATTATAAATGGTCCATAATTGATTGGAGTTTCGTCGTGTAGGTAAATCATTGTAATGAAAATCTCTCCAATGAAAGATGATTACTTTGGCTGTTGCAATGAAATCACGATTGGTTGTGACTAAACAATTCGGATATCGATAATAACATGGTTTTGGTCGAAACAATAAATTTTCCGTGTCACCATTCAATGATTTTTTCATCTGATACATTAAGTCTTGGTCAAAGTATTTGGTCCAAAAAAGGATAATTCGGAAACTAATGAATTCAAATATAAAATCATTAATTATAACCACCATCATAATCTAGTTTGAATGTCTTACTTTTGTACTTTATCCGATGATAATTGAACATATTGGGTGAGTTGATGATATGTAATCTCGGTGGTGACGTTTCCATTTTTATCGACAACAATTGTAGTATCATTAATAAATGGCATATATTGAATGGAATAATAATTGATCAGATTTCGATTGACTAATGAAAAACTGTTCAGCAAAAATAATAACGCCCAAAGACCAAGACAAATGAAGATGATTAAACGAATTCTTGGCATAAGATTGCCATTCAGAATAGTGATGGCCATTGCCATCTCTAATCGCTTTTTTTTAGTATGGATCAAATGACTTGTTTTTGACTATTGCTTGCATTTTATGGCACTAAAGATGAGAAACAGTATTTGTTGGATAAATGGTTAGAATAAGGATAAAATTGTTATGGTAAATGATGAGATTATCACTAGAGTTGTTATTTTATATCGAGTGTATATTAGTAGTTCTATATATACTTACAGATTTAAATTTGTTTTGGTATTGGTATTTGTGTAATGATAACGAATGAGACATAAAACACAACAAAAAAAATTATCGATAATGATAGTGAAAACAAAGAAAGATAATATATGAAAATTGTTTTTATCACTCAAAATATATCACAATGAAATAAAAAATTTGAAATAATTGAAATAATATTCCCAAATAATTTTCGATCAAAACATCAATATCAACACAAGACATTGACTATCGAATAAACACAATCGATTATCGAATATGAATGTATCCAGAGCAGTGAATATGATATGAATTTGTTACTTTCATTCGTCCAAAACTTATCATTTGAAAAATGTTTCTAATCATCATAATTGATTATTATTTCCATGTTAATAGAGAGAAAAAAAAATAATATCTCACTCATAGTTACCTCATAGTTACCGTGACAAATAATTGTATGTGTGTAATACATTGAGTGTGCACAACATAAATGCTGTATAATAAGAAACAGGTTTACCATTGTAAATTGATTTTATTATCATTTTTCTCTCATTAAAAAAGAAGAAAAAATTACACATTGAAATAAAACAAGTGTCATTTGTCGAATTGTAAAATTGTGTCGTCGTCATCATCATCATCATCATCATCATCATCATCATGATTGTCGGTGTGACAAACTTCTACTATAGACATTTATATATTAGTTCTACATATAAAATAATTGACAATTGAATTAATCAATCATTATTAACTTGAAATGTTTATTTGTATTAATAATAACAATAATCGATGGAGTAACCAAAGAACAAATATGTTAGATTTTTCTTTTCGTTGTTGACATTATTTATGGCATTGAATGATGATGATTTTTTTTATGCCATTTTTTGATACGATTCAGGTGGATTACGTTTACGTCTAGGGTGTTTTTTTCCATCTATATATTCAAATTCATAGCCAAAAAATGCAGCAAATACAAATACAATACCAAATATGAAGAATATGAATACCGAAATGAAAGCAATAGCATAAGAAACAGGTTCAAGAATAGTTCGAGCTACAAATTGAGATAATGCCCAAAGAAAAAAGCTAAATAAAAATAAACACGGAATGACCATCAATCCGGTATCGAAGATATTTTCAATAAAATTATTGCCAACCAATCTATCGACAATACGTACACGTACTGGACATTCTGGATGTTCTTTATTCATTGTTCGTTCCAGTTTTCTTGCATGATAGTTTAAATGAAACCATCTTATCGGTACACGAATGATGGCCCGAAGAATTCGTTCGGTACGCATACCACGACCTTCGAATTCAATTTCATCCAAATTGATTGCTTCATCATCTTCATCATCATTATTATCATCATCATCATCATCATCATATTTTTCATTTGTCGTTTTGATTGCCCAAAATGTCATACGATCACGAATATAAATCAATGTCTTCAATATACGTGACATGATGTATGGATTTCTTTACACTTTGTTATTGGATTTAGAAAACGAAAACCAAAACCAAAACAAAACAAAATCCGATTTCGATTCTGGTGATCAAAAAAAAAAAAAAAAAAAAACAAAACAAAATCGACTCACACTTATCCGAATGATGGATATATAGCAAATTCGTATGTCTAAGGAATATTTTTTATATTCGGCGCTTCCATTGGCTAAAAAAGTGTTTGGAACACTATTGCCATCTTTTGGCCAAGAATTTTATTTCCCAATCTAATACAAAAAAAAATCGACTTACGATTTCAATGAGAAAAAAAAAATTAGCATCGTATTGATTCATGATAAACACACACCACCAAAATAATCGGTCAATTTGTTGTGATCAGCAAATTTTCATTGTTTATCATCACTGTGACTAAACTGATAAACGATTTATCGGTAATATAAAATGAACAGAAAATAATGAAAAACTCGAGAAAATTCTTTTTCTTTGTTTTGTTTTTTTTTTGAGGATAAAAAAAAACAATGAAAAATAAAGGCCACAATATATATTATAGGCTCTTTTGTATTTTAGAAAATGAACACCGATGACCACAAATCAATATAATAAAAAAAAAGTTGCTGACAAATCGTGAAATGAAATGTGAAAATTTGTTATGATCAAAATAATAACATAAAAAAACGCGTTAATCTATCCATCCGGTTAAATGTATTTTATTACATATATAGACATAACTAATAATAATATCCTTTTGTTTGTTTGTTTTGTTGATCGTAAAAATAAAAATCTACTAAAAAATTTTCATCATTATTTTTGGTCAATTTGTCCATATAAACGGAAAAAAAATTCATCACCTACCTGCAATGTATAAAATTGCCATTCGTATATGAATTGAGCAAACACTAAACCATGCATTTGATTGATTTCATAATTATCCTATATAAACAGATTGTTTTCAATTTGTAAATGGAAAAAAATCGATATATGATCAATAAAATGATATATGTAATCGATCGCAAAAAACATTGTTCAATCTAATGATGAATTGAGAGAGAGAAAAAAAACTGGCAATTAATTTCAATTTAAACATCTTCTTGATGATTATGATCATTGATCAACATTTATTTTGGATGTAAGATTGAAAATCTCAGCTTTTCATCATCATCAATATAAAATGAACAGAAAATAATGAAAAACTCGAGAAAATTCTTTTTCTTTGTTTTTTTTGAGGATAAAAAAAACAATGAAAAATAAAGGCCACAATATATATTATATAGGCTCTTTTGTATTTTAGAAAATGAACACCGATGACCACAAATCAATATAATAAAAAAAAAAGTTGCTGACAAATCGTGAAATGAAATGTGAAAATTTGTTATGATCAAAATAATAACATAAAAAAACGCGTTAATCTATCCATCCGGTTAAATGTATTTTATTACATATATAGACATAACTAATAATAATATCCTTTTGTTTGTTTGTTTTGTTGATCGTAAAAATAAAAATCTACTAAAAAATTTTCATCATTATTTTTGGTCAATTTGTCCATATAAACGGAAAAAAAATTCATCACCTACCTGCAATGTATAAAATTGCCATTCGTATATGAATTGAGCAAACACTAAACCATGCATTTGATTGATTTCATAATTATCCTATATAAACAGATTGTTTTCAATTTGTAAATGGAAAAAAATCGATATATGATCAATAAAATGATATATGTAATCGATCGCAAAAAACATTGTTCAATCTAATGATGAATTGAGAGAGAGAAAAAAAACTGGCAATTAATTTCAATTTAAACATCTTCTTGATGATTATGATCATTGATCAACATTTATTTTGGATGTAAGATTGAAAATCTCAGCTTTTCATCATCATCATCATCATCATCATTATTATGTTGAGTCCATTCTTCATTGTTTTCAATTAAATCAAAAATCACTTTTCATTTAATCATTAATTCAGTTTTTTTCTTTCTTCTCCATTTCAGATATTTTAGTAACAGATGATAAAAAGTCTATAATTAGATTATTATATTATTATTTTAGATAGATAACTGGTTACTACTGAACATTTGGTTTCATGCATCCTATGAAAGAAAAAAAATGTCAATGTTTTCGTCCCAAAAAAATTCATCATTGGAAATGAAAAGTGAAAAATTAATCGTCAAAAAAAAGGAAGAAAGTTTTTCCAGTTCACCATTTTCAAGTACATTGATTGGGCTATGCTGTTGTTGTTGTTGTTGTTTCAATCGTACAATTATTACCGAGACGGTTGTAATTTTGGCCATCACCGATTATTATTATTATTATATATCGATGAATTGATCCAACTTTTTTTCATTGTTTTTTTTCTCTGGTAAGAATTTTTTTTCTTCAACTTTTCAACTTGCAATTGAATTATTTTTTGTTTCATTCTTTTCAAGAAGATTGTATGGAATTTTTTTGGATAGAATTCCTGCACTACCGTGTGTGTGTGTGTGTAATCAAATTGGTTATAATTTACATTCGATAATTAAATCGTAAGGCAATCTCATATTGATTTTCATCAAATTTTTAAAACTTTTTTCTGAAAATAGAAGAAGAAAAAAAGTAACGTACACAACATCTTTACACATCATAGTGAGAATGAGAGTTTTCATTTAGCTGAATTTTCGTTTTGTCTTTTCGTTTTTTTCGTTTTTACTGGAGTACGGAAAAAACGGAATTTGAATCAGCAAAAGAAAAAAAATGTTGAAATTCTTTTTTTTTTTTCTTCTCCATCCACTTTTGACAAATAAATGTGAAAATGTCGGTTGGTTGGTGGAGGGGGGCCATACGATGACAACAATAAAGTGGAATAAAAACAGCCATTTCTTCTGTGTGTGTGTGTGTGTCTGAAAATTTCTACAATGTGTTTGAATGAGTGTTTAAAAGAGAAAAAAAAACTAACAAGGGAATCCAGAAAAGGAAAAAAAATTTAACGCTCTTACTTGATGATGATGATGATTCAGGAAAACAATTAAAAAAACGGCGGAAATTTCTTTCACCCATCAATGAAAACAATTGTTTGCCACAAAATCTTCACACACACATACAGATAATCAAGTTAAATTGAACCAATTAAATTTTGAAAAATTTTTCTTTTTTTTTAAATACTACTGGCTTTGTTGATTTAGAATATCGGATTGGTTTGAATATTGGTGGGTTTTTTTTTCATTTGCTCATTTTTTTTCGTCACCATTTTTTTTCTGGAACAAAAAAATTGATTTACTATTTTCATTTTTTGTGTGTGTGTGTGTGTGTAACCACATTGAAATACTAATATATCGATCCATAGGATCATGATGATTATTATTATATATAATTAATCCAGAAATAATAATAATAAATAAACAATGTGAAATGGAGAGAAAAACAAGTAATTGAAGCATATAACGAATAATGGGACCTAGTATTTGAACCAGAATTCATTGTAACACTAAAATTGTGGATATAATAATTCACTTTGACAATCTAATATAATTAACTTATGACTCTTGTATAATGATGATATGAATCAAATGGACGTCGATGGTGCTTGTGGTGGTGGTGGTGGTGGTAAGCCCCGGTGTTAGTTTTTTTTTTCCTATTTTTTTATGGCCAAGGTTTCTCATTTATTCAATGAAGATCATCATCATCATCATCATCATCCAAGAATAGAATGAATTAATTTTTTGTAGGTCTTTTTTTTCCGCTTCTGATTTTGTCAAAATATCGACTAAGGTATTAGAATGAATAACAGACAAACAAACCAAAAAAAAAAAACAAAAAAAAATTATTTCATCGATCCAATGCATTCAAGATAATAATAAGTTGTTTATCCAAACATGCCAAATGAATTATTATCATCATAATCATTAGGCATGACGGGATTTAGATTCATTCATTCATTTTTTCTTTTCGTTTTGTTTCGTATACACTGAAAAAGAGCCACTGAAAAATTCTGTACACATTTATTTATTCCATATTATTATTCAATGGGAAAAAAAAAGACCATCATTGTTGAATAATTTTTATTTTTGTTTGCAAATTTATTTAAAACGGAAATAAAAATAGGAAATGATTATCTCTTTACTATTTTTTTTTCTGATCATCATCATCATTTTTGTTTAATTAAAAATTATTCATTCAATTCAACATTAATTTTTTTCCCTTATCGAAAATGAAAATCTGCCATCATCATCATCATCATCATCAACATCATATGGAAAAATAAATTGGCCAATTCTATATTCTAGCTGTCTGTAGTCGGTGTGTTTGTTTTTGTGTGTGTGTGTGTGTATTAATTCATCACATTTGTATTAAACAATTTTTAAAATTAAATGGAAAAAAATCCTTTGTATTTGTCATCATCATCATCATCATCATCATCACACAATGACAAAAACATAAAACAAATGATGATGATGATGATGATGATGATTGTCAGGATTGATTTGTGAAAAAAAAAGAATGAAAGAAAATTCATTTGATAATGATAACGAATAATTTAACCATTTTTTTCATCATCCGAATCATATAATAAATTTAATGAATCGTATTGGATGCTGAACAGAGAGAATACAAAATAATAAGATGGTGAAACAAATGGGAGAGAGAGAGAGAGAAACTTTTATATCCATTTTGTATTTGTATGTTTTATGTAATAACATACGTAATAATAAGTATCATTAATTTGTTCTTGAAACAATGTGTGTGTGTGTGTGTGTGTGTGAAAATAACCAAAGTTCTTTGATGATGATGATGATCATGATCATCATTTTCATCTTGTTCTTATTGTTTTTTTTTTGTTTTGTAAAAGAAAACATTTCGGGACAAGGGGGTCTTTGTACACACATTTGGATCATTTTTTGTTTCATTTATTGAAAACCGATGGTTTTTGTTTTGTTTTGTATTTTTTTTTTATTTTATTTTGTTACTAAGGTCATATATGAAGTGTATAATAAGCATCATCATTTATAATATATATATGTGATGATGTGATATTCGATATAAATAAAAATCACTATGCCAAGTAATGAAAAATAAAGTGAGAAAATGAAGAAAAGAAAAATTATGACCTGTTTATGGAAATGTACAAATAATTAGCTTAAGATAAATTAGTATCTGGAAATAAAAATACAAGAAAAAATAGGAAAAAAACCGGAGGTTTGGCTTTATACGATGATGATCATGATGACGATGATGATGATGATGATGATCGAGATTGAATGAACAAAACGACAATATAACAAAATAATAATCAAGTCAAATATGAATTTAGGTATTGATTTCATTGAAGGAAAAAAAATTAGTGCAAATACATTTATAATGATTGCGTTTTGAATTTTTTTTTTTCGTTATTTTTAAGTACACAGAGGGGAAAAGTGATTTTAAAATGATTTTAAATAATTTTTTTTTTTTGCACTTGATCATCTGTAATTTACTATGCAACGCAACTTATTTTCCAAATATAGATTCGTAGAGAGCAATCGGTGCATGTTTGTCGAAAAGAATTATCAACATTCATTTTCATAATCAATAGAATAGAGTTCAGTTCCTTTTCCAATAAATATTAGAATTTCACGTGAATTTGTTTACCATGAGCATTCGCTATTTCAGCCAAGATTTACGAACTATCAGTTAGATTTTTTAGTTTTTTTTTATTTTTTATTTTTTGTTGAAGATTAATTTTAAAATGTACGCAAATTCATTTACGAGATAAATTATGACTTTAAAATTACAAAAATATAAATTGAAAAAAATAAACAAAAAAAAAATATCCAATAATATTTGGCAACGAAAACAAACAACAACAACAACAACAACAATAATAATAACATTGTAAAAGTACATTGAAAATGAATGAATGAAAAATTATTTCCATAATATGGGTTGTTTGTTATTCATTCCATATATATTGTAATTGGGGCCAAAGATCAAAATCAAGAACAAAATATATGTATATGTTGAGTGTGAGACAGAGAGAGAGATAGGAATGACAAGAAATTTGAGATTGAATCAAAGGATTGAATTCAACATCATAATCATCAACAGTTATTCGTAAAAAAAATAAAATAATAAGTTCAAGTTGAATGAATCCTTGATTTTGGAATTTTTTTTTCCTTCTTTTTGTTCAACAAGCCTGTAGACAAGAGTAGTAGATTACTAAAATTATCTTTTATGAACAAATAAAGAAGAAAGATGTATAAAGGAGAAAAAAATTGGATGTTCGATACAAAATAATTCGATACCGATAAATATCAGGGCGCCATATATACACTTTTTAAATAGTAATATATGTGAAATGGTTTCTATGGGTTTGTGATGTATTTTTTTTTTTGTTTTCTTGGCAATTGCGCAGAACTAATAAATATATAATTTTTTGGCGCCTTTGGGTTTCACCCAAATTGTTTGCGTTTCTATGTGTATAGGACGCAAACACACACACACACACAAAAACACAAAAAGAGACAAACAGACAAAATTTCAAGTCCAAATAATCTTCTTATGTGCGTGTGTGTGTGTGTGTCTCTAGTATTTAAACTTGATTCCAATCTGATAGTTCTGTTTAGTTTGTCCATTGTGTCTTTGTGATATGATGTATGTTTATCTGTGTGTTATTCAGAAAATTTCAAATTTCAATTTCAACTTTCAACTTCTTAATTTGTTGCATAGGTAATTATTAATATTTTCAATAATTTGAATATTGATTGATTTATAATTTTTTTTTAAATTTCAAACTTTATCAAGTTTTGTGTTTATTTGACTGATTTAATAATTGATCACATCGGCAAACAATTCTAACAATGCCATTATTTGATTTTGATTCAAATGTAATGAGACTACGTCTCAAACGTTTATCAAATATTGTTGATGGTTATGGTTTTGGTCTAAATATTCATGATCGTGGTACACCACCGGTATTACAGATATCATCAATTGAAAATAATTGTGAAGCAGAAAAATCTGGTCTAATTCGTAATGGTGATATTATTTTACGTATTAATAATCATGATGTATCACAATGTACATATGATGAAGCAATACAAAAATTAACATCAACACCAATGAATGCATATGCATCATTCACGGTACGTGCACCATTTGGTTATGTAACACGTTTGATTACTACATTTGAAGAAGATGGACAATCAAAAACAATTCGTATTACTGAACGTGCTAATCGTCAACAACAAAAACAAAAACAACAACAACAACTCGCTAATAATGATGACCATCATCAACAACAACAGAATCATATTACAAATAATTCTCATTTGACGCCACAATCAATAACAACAACAACAACAACGGAAGAATCAAAAACAACAATGACAAATCAACCACGTACTCGAAAAGGGTAAGTCGGACAAAACTTTAACAAAAAAAAAAAAAAAAAAAATTTTTCATCTTCTGAATGCAAAAAAAAAATTCACCATCTGAGCCATATTGTATTTGTCGTATGCTAATCGATAATATTTTCACACACACACACACACACTTGCTTACTGAGTTAACCCAATGACAACATTGATCAACTATTCGGTAAATGTTTTTCATAAAAAAAAATCAATTTGGAACAAAAAGGGTACTAGGCCATTGTGGCAAGGTGACACACACACACACACAAACTTATATATTAATCGAAAGCTTAGACATTTTAGATTCGATCATTATTAGTCCATCAATCCATAAATCATTATGTGTTATTGATCTACTGTCTCTCTCTCTCTTCCTATGTGTTCGAACTAAACAAGTCTAAATTTTGTTTTTTTTCATTTTGGAAAAAAAATGAAGACATTGAAAAATGTTAAGTTTATTTGCCAGATTTGTGAGAAAAACGATCAACAACAACAACAACAACAGCATCATCATCATCATCATATCGAAAGACATAGAAATGATTTGCTATTAGAGGCTATAATTTGAGATTTCCGAATTGAATGGACAAAAAGAAGCAAGGATAGAGAGAGAGAGAAAGAGAAAGAATTAGATTATCAATGAATGGGCTGTATATATACCAATATAAATTAAGGAGACATTTTAAATAGCTCTATTATTATAACATCATCATCCTGATATAATGTTAGTGAATACCATAGTCAGAGAAAGAGAAAGAGATCGTATATAATGGGCTAACCAATGGATTCAATAAGAAATCCTTACAACAACAACAACAACAACAACAAAAAATAAAAATGAATGACCATCATCGATATTACAGATTTTCGATACACACAGTGGTAGAACAATGGAAAAAAATAACTGACCAGAATAAGAAGCTGAGCTAGTTGAATGAAACACGAGAGCTTATCCATTATTATTGTTCTATCAAATAATTTTCAATATATATTTAAAAAAACATAATTCAATAATAATAGTAGTATGGTTGACGGAAATAGAGTTCCATCAATTTTACTAATAATAAAACAAAACATTTGAAAAAAAAAATTTGAATACCTAAATCATTGCAATAATCGTTTGTTTTACTCAATTACACACACACACACACACACACACACACAAAGACAAGTTCCATTTTCTTGTTGCTGTTGTTTATTGGTCTCTGGTGAATTTGATGCTGATGATTTGATGGTTTGTATTTGTGGTGAAAAGCAAAAAAAAAAAAAAAAAAAAAATAACCGTATGTTCTTATCATTTAGTTATTAGAATATTATGAGTATTGTTGCTGTTGTTTTGTATCGCAACAAACCACTCAAAGTTCTAAGCAATAGTTTCAATGCATGAATGAATAATCACTTGACGATAATCAATCAATCAATCAATCAATCAGACAAATGTTTATTTTTATTTTCATTTCTGTTCTGTATTACAGTAAAAATTTGCCGCCATTCATCAGACAAAGATTATATTGATTTAATAATCAAAAAAAAATTTTTTTCCTATTTGAATTTGCAAATAATACCTGATGAATGATGGAAAAGGTATATGCCGCTTTTAGGCTTAGATAAACATTTTTTTTTTTCCCCGGTGGATAAAGAAAGAAAGAAATTCTGATTCTGACATTTGTGTGTTGTACAGATGGATTAACTCGATGATGACTGATAGGGTAGATTGATATTTTTTTTTATATCATATCAAGTATGGATTGCGCGTGTTTATAATAAAGATTTTTTTTTTTTGTTTTCACAATCAAAATCGTGTAACAATCAATTTTGTGTATTTTTCTTTTCATTCATTCAACAATAATGAAAATGTCACATGAATTTGCGTTAGAATCCACTAAATAAAATGCAAAACAATGAGAAAAGAAAAATAAATGAAAGCAAAACAAAAAAAAAGTATCAATCAAAATGGATTTTATTTCAACGATTGGCAGCAATAAAGTGAAAAAGGGAATTGTTTTTGTTTTTGTTTTCAGTATAATAATTTTGTGCATGTATAGGTTATTTTGACATATTGAAAAATGGACATTTATCAAGTGTGAAAAAAAAGTAAATATTGGGAACAGAAAAGAAAAAAAAAGAAAGAAAGAAAGAAATTTTTCATTTCTCAAGTTATAATTTATATTTACCGATAAACATGTGGCCATTACCTGGTTGAAATGAATGACAGCAATACAGCAAATAGCAATATAGCAACCATCAATAAGAAACAAGAAAGAAAAGTTCATTCATTCATTCATTCATTTATTCAATGATTCATTTATCATGATTGCAGTTAATGATAATTTCATCATTTTGAATTTATTCGAGGACAAGAAAAAAAAAAAAAAGAAAGAAAGAAAGAAATAATATAATGTAACGAAATAAACCAATATATATGAAAAAAAAACACTGACAATGTGACGAATTTATTTGTAAACATGAACGGTATGATAATAAATAATAAAAAATTTGGGTATTTCCAAAACGATGTCTAAAGTTTCGTAATATATACACACATGAAACATATATATTCAAATTCATTGATATAGGTCGTTGTTGTTGATTTGAATGAAGAATATTTACACTGAAAATTGTTTGCAAACAACAAAACATGGCATAGTACACAATTTATTCACCGAAAACAATCGGACAAGGACAGTGAAAAATTTTTAATTTTTTTGTTTGTTTGTTTGTTTGTTTGTTTGAATTATGAAAACAAAATATCACAATCATAAATTTTCTTTCTTTGTTGAAAAATCCATGATGTTGTTGTTGTTGCTTTTTTTCTGCATTGTCAAAATTAAAGGTAAAAAATCTCAATTATAAATTCTAGAATCTAGATAATTTCATCATCATCATCAATCAAATAATATGTTTCGAATTTTTAAACATTCGAAACATAAAAATGACCAATCATTCATAAATCATGTAGCTAGAAATTTTTTTTTCCGGCAACAAATTCTAATTTCAAACGAAATTAGAATTTAAATCAAATTCTCTAATGATGATGATCATTGAATATTATTTTATTCCGAAATTTTTTTTTTCTCTCTGTTTGATTCTTTTTTTTTGTTGGAAAAAGATTAATCATTCAAAAATGGTAGCCCACATTTTGATGATGTTACATTTTTTTTCGGTGCATTAATTTGTCCAATTTTTTTTTGGATTCTGTTTTTTTTTTTTTTTTTGTTTGAACACATAAAATCCACAGCAAGAACACGATGAACGATGAAATCAGAAGGAACTTTTCAAAAATAGAATTAACTGAACAACGGAAGTTGACAATGGAATTCTAATGAATCTTTTTCTGGAATTCTACGTGCAGCCATTGTGTTTAGCGGATTTTTTTTTGTTTTGTTTTTATTATTGGCTTGTTATTTTTATTTTTTATTTCTCCTAATCGGGTATTCAACGATTCAGTACAATTTTACTATACTTTTTTTCACTTTGGCATTGAATGTTGTTGTTCTTGTCGCTGTTCAATGTCTTGTTGATTACTGAGGTTAGAGCATTAGAGAGAGAAAAAAAAATAAAATAAACTTTTAACTAAAGACAACAGGAAAAAAAACTCGTTATTCGTTCTTAGCAGTATTTTTGTCCATTTATATTTGCTGAATTTTCTCTTTTCTTATTTCGATTCTTGAAACATTGACAAACAGACAAGGAAAATAAAAAAAAAAAGAATATAAAAAAGTCAAAATAGAATTTTGTCTTGTTCGTGTGTGTGTCCAAATGAAACAAAAGTTTTGGCCATTTTGTTTTTTTTTTAGTTTATTCAGAATAAAAAATGATGATCATGATCATCATTGAGTGTAAAGTAACGACGACTATTTGAAAACGAACGACGTGTTCACAAATGAATATTCTTCGAATGAACAAGTGAAACATTTCTGTAGTTACCGATTTAGATGTTTTTTTTTTTACAATGTTATCAATGTCGTTTTTGTGTCCAACATAAAATTACATTGGACTTTTTTTGCTATAAATTGAATTAAAATTGAAGCAATGAATGATGATGATGAGGATGGTGTGCAAAAAAAAAAATCAAACCGCCACCACCAAAAAGTGGACAATTCAATTCATATAAAATAGAATCTCTAGAGAGGGTATCCGGTGGACAATGAAATCAATAATCATTCTATAAAGATTCTCTCTATGGAACCTATCCATCTATTGGTGGGGTTCACAGTATTTCAATCAAAACTGGCTAACTAAAAAAAAAGGTTTGAATAAAAATGAAAATTCCACTATTTATTATTATTACTATAGTGCTGCTGCTACATCAGCTGACTTTGTTAAATTGAATTTTTGATTGATTTCTTCTTTTTTATAGAGAAAAAAAAATGAATGTGAATGAATGAAACACCACCACCACCACCACCAAAATCATGGAATGAATTTTTTAATTGAAATTCAATTCCTCCGTTTACTAAACACAAACACACACACACACACACACCGTATTTCTGTGTATGCCATTGACATTCATCATCAGTTTGATTTCAAACTTTTCCACACGCATTTTTTCATGATATTTAAATATTTTCTCATCTTCACTGTTGAATTCATTTTCGTTGATTATCTATTCCTTTTCTTTTTTTTTTTTTTTGAATCAAATTTCAATCAACTAGAGCGTGAATAAATCTATTGTTGATTTGCATGATGATGATGAATCTAATTCATCCGTTCAATTCAATTTAATTCGATTTCAATTTTTTTTTCATCATCCTTTGCTTTTTCTTTTATTCAAATGTAGGTCGATTTGCGTTGGTCAAAAACCAATACGAATTAGAAATGTTGCCACCTCAAATGTTACGGTGGACACTTTACATCAAACAGCTAAACAGGTAATATGATGATGATAATGAGATTAATTATAACATAATGATAATTGTACTTGTTAGCCATTATCCTGTTCAGAATCGGTTTGTTTGGGTTCATTGATGAAACAAACAAAAGAACATCTAGGAATATGTCCATTACAACCACAACAAGTGGATCTATCTACCACCAATCAACAACAATCCGTTGATGGAATCGGTCAACAACGTAGTAAAGAACAAGTGCTAAGTGATGCCTATCAATTTATGGAACAATATTATGCATCAATAAAACGTTTACATACACCTGCACATCGTGATCGTTTACGTGAAATTGAAACCGAAATACGATCAACTGGTGCATATCAATTGAAACAAACGGAATTAATATTCGGTGCTAAATTGAGTTGGCGTAATGCACCAAGATGTATTGGCCGTATTCAATGGTCAAAACTTCAGGCAAGTTGAAAAAAAAAAAAAAAAAAATAAAGAATAGAAACATTGTTTGATCAAGTAGTTTGTGAATTCTCAACGAGATTTTGGTAAACAGAATTTTTTTTTCTATTTTCTTGAATCGAAAATATTTCTTTCTTCCAAAATGGCTATTAACCCATGAACTCACATTTTAACTTATCGATGAATGTTGTTACGGATGTATTTGTTTCCGGTGGTGACTATTTTTTTTCTAAAAAAAAAAATTTTTCCGGAACATTCTAAGCACGTTCAACGCTTTTTTCAACGGTCCCTATGTCGTTTTATGTACTGTGTGTGTGAAAAAATTTTTTTCCTCTAGTCAATTTGAAAGTAATAATTTGCTCTCTTTTTTTTGCTACTCCCCACTTTTATTTGGGCATCAGCATCTTATATGACTTTTTTTTGGGAAAAAAATCACTTGTCTACTTTGAATTGAAAAGATTCGTTTTTTTCGATCTTTTTTTTGGTGTTTGTAGCAGTCGCCCTATGAATGGATGGATGGATGGATGATGATACAATCTGATTGCCTTTAACTGAAAAAGCAAAGCCAAAGATTTTCATTAATTTCAATTCCTGATCAAATCGATTTAAGTTTTCCTATGTTGGATTGCAATTTGCAATCAATGGTCATACACACAGAGAAATAGAGAGATATACATTGGGCGGTAACATTAACTTTGAATAGAAAAAAAAATGAAAACAAAAATGATGTCATGCGTAATCAAATGAATTGATGAACCGAAATAATTCTTGTATACAATCCAAATTAATAAATTTTAAGTTCAATTCATCCGCTGGAAGACAAACAAACAAGCTAAACAAAACAGAACATACCATTCACATACCAGGATCAGACTAGACCAGATTCTCATTCGATTTGATTCGATCCGATCCAATCCAATCCAATTCGCTACTGTTACTATCATGAACAGCTAACCAGAATCATTCCAAAGAAATAATGGTTCAAATATAGAAAAAAAATCGAATGGTCAAAATCAATATGGATTTTTTTTCTTTTGCTGTTAAATCGATCCAAAATACCGGGACCTGATTTATGTTATTATTATTATTATTATGATTATTCCATATAGATAGTTAGGAAGGAAAAAAAAAGTCAAGTAAAAACAGTGCAGATTTGATTGGTGCAATTTTATAATTTCGAACACAAAAAAAACTTGAACATTCATTCGATTTTTTCTTTTCTTTTCTTTCCATTCAAATAAATGGTGTTGTTTTTTTTGTTTTTTCGTTTTGTTTTCAGGTTTTCGATGCACGAAGCTGTAAAACGGCACATGAAATTTTCGTTGCAATATGTAATCAAATTAAATATGCAACTAATCGAGGAAATTTACGGTTTAGTATCAATGATTTTTCTGCATTTTTTTTTTGATTATTCTTGTAATTTCAATCGATTTCTCTTTTTTTTCAATTATTATTCCTTTAGTTCGGCCATAACAATATTTCCACAACGAATCGATGGCCGTGAAGATTATCGTATATGGAATCAGCAATTAATCTCATATGCTGGTTATGTTGTAAATTCGGATGAAAATAATGATATTATTTTGGAAAATGGTGTCGGTGGTGGTGGTGGTGGTGGTAGTAAACATCAAACGACAACTACAATTATTGGTGATCCAGTCAATGTAGAATTTACACAGGTTAGTGTTGTGAATAAAAACTAATCAAAATTTTGATTGAATTTATTATATAATTTATGACATGTGCATGTATCACACACACACACATGACACAAATTAATGATCTGGGAAATGAAATGGGAAAATGAGAATGTTCAAAATTTTCTCATCCAATTTCATTTGAAAATTAGTTTCAATTTTTTAAAATAAAAATTTCCCATTCAGAATAGATTGATTTTATTCAAAACAATCCCAATGTGAATTTTTGCATTGTATTCATTTTTTTCCTTTTGTTTTTTTTTTATTGAATTTCATTTTTCTTTTTCACATTTTTTTTCTCCCAACACGAAAGATTTGCACGAAACTTGGCTGGAAAGGACGGCGAACCAAATGGGACATATTACCCATCGTAATCTCTGTGCCCGGTGAAGATCCACAGCTATTTCCATTGAGCGAGGATTTAGTTCTTCGTGTTCCACTTGTACATCCTAAGTTAGTATTTAATGAGAAAAAAAAGAAAACTTATTTATGCAGAATTTGTAATCGATGCTGAATTTTCAAATTTTTTTCTGCTTCCCAAAAAAAAAACAGATATAAATGGTTTGAAGAGCTGGATTTACAATGGTATGCATTACCGGCCGTATCATCAATGAAATTTGATGTTGGTGGAATTGAATTTCCGGCCTGTCCATTTTCCGGTTGGTATATGGATACTGAGATTGCTGTTCGTGATCTTTGTGACACACATCGATATAATATATTACCCGAGATTGCCAAATACATGAGCTTAGATATTAATTCAAATGCTAGTCTTTGGAAAGATCGTGCTGTCATTGAAGTCAATACGGCCGTATTGTTTAGTTTTCAAAAAGCCAATGTCACCATTGTTGATCATCATACGGCTGCTGAATCATTTATGAAACATTTAGAAAATGAAAATCAATTACGCGGTGGTTGTCCTGCCGATTGGGTTTGGATTGTTCCACCCGTATCCGGATCTTTGACACCTGTTTTTCATCAAGAAATGCTTAATTATGAATTAAAACCAGCATACAAATATCAGGAACCTGCATGGAAAACACACATCTGGCGTAATGGTTATCATGACGGCCATAATTCAATAACATCGACACCAAGAAAATTACGTTTCAAAGAGATTGCTAAAGCAGTGAAATTCACTTCAAATCTTTTCGGTGAGTGCATATATATATGAAGGATGAATGAGAGGATGGGGGGTTTGGCGAGAAAACAAACTCTCAATTTATATTGTTGATTGACTTGATTGTATCGATCTTTAATTCTTATTTTGTTTTTTTTTTCACTATTTTCTAAATGGATTCTTCGATATCCCGCAGGCAAAGCTTTAAGTAAACGTATTAAAGCAACGATTTTGTATGGCACTGAAACTGGTCGATCCGAACAATTTGCAAAAAGACTTGGACAAATATTTTCCCATGTATTCAATGTATCGGTCTCTTGTATGGATTCATATGATATGCTACATTTGGAACATGAAACATTATTATTGTGTGTTACAAGTACATTTGGCAATGGTGATCCACCGGAAAATGGTGAATCATTTGCTAGACAATTACAAGCAATTAAAATGACCGGTGATACTGCACCGGATTTAGATCGTGACACCATTTCATTACCGGTAACTTATCTACGTTATTCATCAGTGGATACTTCAGAACAAAGTAGTGGTGCTAATTTGAATGCCGATGATAAACAACGTTTCATTACATTCGGTACATTGGATTCAATCAATCTAAATTCACCAACAATTCAGAATAATACAGCCGGTGATGATTATTTTGCATTTGCCGATCATGTTGGTCCTCTTAGCAATGTTAGGTAAGTTTTTTTCAACAAAACATTCCATCCATTAAAAAAAACTCATTGAATTTGTTCAAATTTTGTTTGAACCAATTCATTGATTTGTATGCACATACGCGCGCGTTGCATTCACCATGATTTCTTACCGTCTTTTTTACGATATAGATCGATCGTTTCTTCAGAAAGATAATTTGATTAGTTAGCAAAAAAAAAAAAAAATTCTTTCGGAATCACAGTGTGAGGATTTTTTTTATTCGGTTCTGGCTTTTGTAAGAAAAAAAAACTTTTTTCGTTATATATATAAATAGCATCAATAGAAAATGCAATTGAATGGAAAAGTGAAAAATAGAAAACAGTAATGTCAACAATTCAACGATTCAATTATTGTAATGATGATGATAAAGACATTTACAAGACATTTGTAAGAAAAAGGCAGAAAAAAACTACAAAGAAGAAGAAGAAGATAAGATTCTTAATCGTCTCGGTTTTTTTGTTGCTGGTATCTTGTAGCCACAATCGAGCATAAACTGTTTTTTTATGGTACAATAATAAGGATTATTGAAATTGAAAATAAGAAGATTGTTTAATCGTTATTTAAAATATGTGAAAAAAAAACTCTGCTATTCCAATGGGGAAAAAATTGAATCCAGTGAATGAATGAATGAAGAATTTATTTTTTAATTAAATCAAAATTTTTTTTAAATCTATAGATTTGCTGTGTTTGCGCTTGGTTCAAGTGCATATCCAAATTTCTGTGCATTTGGCCGCTATCTGGATACAATGTTAGCCGAACTAGGTGGTGAACGTATTACACGTGTAGGTATTGGTGATGAACTTTGTGGCCAAGAACAATCATTTTATGAATGGTCTGCCGAAGTTTTTGAACAAGCTTGTGAAGTATTCTGTTTAACCGATGAATTGGATATGAATGTTGTAACAAGTTTGGCTGCACAAAAACCATTACAATGGTGTAAAGAAAATGTTTTACTTGATGACGAAAATGATGGAAATCGTATCAATGATAATGTACAAGAATCAAAACATATACAACAAGGTTAATATCGAGTCTTTTTTTTGCAATTTCATATTTAAACAACTTCATATTAATTTCCTCCCTTGTGTGTTTTAGCATTATCTAAACTTAGTAATAACAAAAAAGTCAATCATTATAGATTGATTGAACGACAAAACTTACATGATTATTCAATTGATAATGATAAATGTTTGGAAGAAGCAAATAAGCCAACTATTCGTGTTACATTGAAAATTGATCCTGATGAAAATGATGAACAATCAAATGAAGAAATTAAACCCAATGTTCATTATTATCCTGGTGATCATTTAGCCGTATATCCGGAAAATTCATCTGAATTAGTTCAGGGAATTATTGATCGTTTATGTAGTTTGAATCCATCGTTACAATCTACAAAACCATATGTGATCAAAATTCGATCACAACATTCATCAATGGATAATCATCCAAATGAATCGATGAACAGTGCTAATAGTTTATTTGGTATAGGCAATAATAATTCAAATTTTGATGGAAACAAATCACCGAATCATCTTGAAAAACAAAAATGGATATTACATGATCGATTACCATCACCAGTAACATTAAAAGAAGCTTTAACTCGTTATCTAGATATAACTAATCCACCAACACAAAGAATTCTGTCCATATTATCAGAACATGCATCCAATTCAGATGAATCAGAATTGTTGAAAAATCTTTCAAAAGATTCAGCCGCTTATGAAACTTGGAAGGCAAAATATTTTCCCAATTTTTTGGAGGTATAACCAACAAAAATCTAGAATAGTTCCAATTCAAATTAATTTATTTTCTTGCAGATATTGACTGAATTCAGTTCAATCAATCCTCCATTGGAATTTATATTCACACAATTGCCAGTATTGAAACCAAGACATTATTCAATATCAAGTTCACCGCTCACACAATCAGCATTTCAAATTGATCTTACTGTTGCTGTCATACAATATTATACGGAAAGTGGCTATCGGCATTATGGTGTTTGTTCAAATTTTCTTAATGATAAACCAATTGGTGGTGATGTGTTTGCATTCATACGAAGTGCACCGAATTTTCGTCTACCTAAAGAACGAAAAGTTCCCATTATAATGGTCGGTCCGGGCACCGGTATAGCACCATTCCGTTCATTCTGGGAACATCGAGCCAAACTGAAAGAATTAAATTCATCAGCAGATTATGGTAAAATGACACTGTTTTTCGGTTGTCGATATCCATCCATGCAACTTTATCGTGAAGAAATCGAAACAACCATGTTGAACAATGTAATTAAAGACTATCATGTTGCATATTCACGTCAGGCCAATCAGCCAAAGGTAATTTGATAATATCATGAATTTTGTTGTGTGTGTGTGTGTGTGTGTGTGTGTGAATGTTACTTATCTGTAATCAATAACAATTATCTGATATATTTTTTTCATTTTCAAACATTTTTTTATTTTTAAGCAATATGTCCAAGATGTAATGCGACAACTATCACAACAAATCTATTGTGATCTGATCGAAAGAAAAGGCCACATTTATGTTTGTGGTGATGTTTCAATGGCACAAGATGTGAATAAAACATTACAATTTATATTACAAGAAAACGGTATACATGATGCTGATATGACACTTTTATCGCTTAAAGTATGTATTTTTTTGGCAGCTAACAATTACTTACAAATACAAATTTCAAATTTAATTTTTTTTTGCTATTGGAATTATATAAAGGAAACGATGCGTTATCATGAAGATATTTTTGGAATTACATTACGTACAGCCGAAGTGACTAATCGTAATCGTTCGGATGCCGTGAAACGAACATTTTCCAATTCCTAAAATTTGGTCTATTAATATATTGTTGTTGATTCATTGCACACTTTTCAAATAATACAAAACACACTCAATCACAATGACAATTTTGAAACATTAACAAAAAAAAACAAAAATTCGTTTCATTATTTGAAAAAAATGGTTGATGTGTTTATTTGTTATTATTCTTAATATATGATGAGATTATTGATGAATGAAACAAAATGAAAATTCAATGTTAACAATATTGTCAATTTTTATTTAAAGAATAAAAAAAAATGTTTGTATGTGATATTCAAGATTTAAAAAAAAAAATATTTGATTGGTAATAAACAACATGAGTATTCCAATTTTTTATGCGATATTTGGCGCTACCTCTTCTTGAAACCATATTTTTTACGTTCATAGAAAAGATCCGTTTTCGATGATCCAAGATTGACAATTTTTGGACAGCCATCACGATCTTTTTCCAATATGGTACATTCTTTACAATAGTAAGCATCGCTTACACCTGGTCCACCGCAAATTACACATCGGCCTTGATATGATCCATAATTACATTCATCACAAACACGAACCAATGTTGATGGTCGTACATATGAATCACAGATGACACATTTGCCATCACATTTTTCACAAAGACGACCGATAGCAACGCCCGGTTGTTTACGGCAAAAAATTAGATCTGGATGATGTTTAGCCATTTATTTGATTTGAAACAAAAAACGTCAAATTTTGATTCAACACGCACAATATTTTAAAATCCAACACAATAAATACTTTCGCGTGTTCACGTGAAGAACTCACAACAAATCGATTGTTTTATCGATAGTCAACTTGATGATGAGCGAAAAAAAAATCATTGATTAATTTTAAACTTTACAACCAGATGGCAGTTAATGGATGGGTAAAATTTAAAATTTTACCCGCATTTCATATTTGCCAACAGTTTTCTGAATAGGTGAAAAAAAATCTCCAACTTCAGACTATATTTACTTATTAATAAAAAAACGATGATGAATTTTTTGATCGATTCTTCCTGTCTCATATTATACATGAATTCATGCTTGTCATTTTGTTGTAAATGAACATGATGATGATGATGATGATGATGATGAATATGTACAACCAAATTATCATACTGATTGATGGGTGGTTGATGTATTTGTAAACAATTGCCTGTTATTATTATTATTATTGTTCACATTTCTGTCATCATCATCATTATTTTTTTTTCATTTATATACAGAACTAAAAATGAATGAATATTCATTGTTCACGAAAAAAATTATTCACCTACACACTCAAACAAACACACACACACATATAGATACATATTGAACAAACAAAATGAACAAAATTCGAGATGCAAACAACAACAACAACAACAAAAGTTGATCATTGTTTATTTCAAGAGGAAGAGAGAGAGAGAGAGAGAAGAAAATTGCCAAAATTTGAACATGAATTTAGACATTGAGAATAGCAGCTAGAATTTTGTTGTATAAATCGAATGGTAATTCTTGGGAAAAAAAATAATTTTCGAAAACAAAATGGACATTTTGAATTTCGGTATATTTTTGTTTTTGTTTTTTATTTCTGCTTTCGAAAACAAAATTTTAACTCAAATCAACTAAATGTGGTAAACAACACATACACACACTGGTACACATTTTTTGATTTTCAAAAAAACGAAAAAACGAAAAACAAACGACAAATGTGTAAACATAAACATACGCACACACACACACACACATGCAGATCGTTTAACATTGATCGAATTGTAAACCTTTTTTTCAACGCAGAAAAAAATTATTATTTCCTTTCCATTTGTTACAAGCAAATGTTTTATTTATTAAAAAAAAAATTCAGAAATAAAAAGGCAAACCCAAATCCAAACATCCAATAGCAAGCCATACCATCCAGGCAACATACTCATGCATATCAACACAGGCAACAACAACAAATGAAGAATATCATGAAATTGAATGATGAGATAGTTTGTTGTTGTTGTTGTTGTTGTTGAATTCAACCAGACAGAAACACAAGATTTTTTTTCGCTGCCATTTTAAAAAGTATTTTTTTTTTTACACCAACAACAAAAAATGAAAATACAAACAAAATTTTCAATATGAAATGGTTGTGGATATATATTTGAAAAAAAAATTCACATATGGAATAATTCAAAAAAGCGTTACATCATCATCATTGCAACAGAGCAACGATAATCGCATCAGTCAAAAGTAGTGAGTGAAAAAAAAAAGATTTTCAATGATGAATAATAAAGTGTATTTGACACATTGAATGAAATGTATTTATAGAATCGAAGAGAGAGTGAAAAAAACATTTATTGCGGAACTGGTGAAAATTCAGTAATGAAGAAGAAGAAGAAATGGAAAGCAATAAAATCAAAGTTTTTCTCTATTCTGATGCTGATGCTGCTGCTGCTACTGCTTCAATCTAATGACATGATTCCGGCATATTCTATTCTCAGTTTATATATGTGTGTGTATATATATATGACGATTATGACATGAAAAAAAATGTGAAAAAAAGTGGTTTTCCTGATAACAGCATTCATCATCAACATGGATGGCTGATGATGATGATGATGATTATGATGATATGGTTTGATGGTTTGACAATGACTCTCTCGATACAATATCAAACGAATCAAATTATATATTTCTTCATTCTTTTTTAATTCATTCATTTATTCTAACTTATCATCTTTATTTCTCTATGTGTTTGTGTTTGCAAAAAAAAAAAATGACGACAAAACAATTCTGATCTAAATATGATGATAAAAATTGGCTTTTTTTTCATCGTTCATTCAATTATATATTTTTATTCTTCCTTTTACAAAAGAAAAATTAGGAACAAACGAGCCTTCTTTCTGGATGAATATGATCAAGTGGAATGAAATTAGAGTATTACACACATAGACATAGTTCATTTAAATACAATGGTTGTTTTAAATGAATTGTTTGTGTGTCTGAGTGAAACGATTGTTCCATAGAAAAAAGACTAGATTTTTGTTTTGTATACAATGTTGAGATGATTTTAAAGAAAAAAATTTAACCACCCCCACAAAAATTTTTCAATCTTTGACATATGCAAATTTTTTTCTGGTTTATGGGGAAATAGGACCAGACGGAATATTTTAAAATTATTTTATCCACTTTTACCGTCGTCGTTGTCGTCTGTGGTACTTGGTATATCATCATTGGCAGCGGGATGTCAGACAAACGTCGTCAGTGAAGAATCGAAATGAATTTTTTGTTTTCTTCGTTTCTTTTAAATTCAAATTTGAATAAACAAAAACAACAACAAGAAGCTTGCCGTATCAATTACATAAACAATTTTTTTTTTCGTTTATAAATTGATTCGACTGTCATGTTGTTGTTGTTGTTGTTGAATAAGATATAAATAGCCAGATTCTGAATTATAAAGTAACGAATAAAATCTTCAAGTTTTGTCCTTGGTCATGATATTTGTATGCGATAGTTACAAAGAAAAATAAAATAAACTCAAGACCTTTTTGACCTTAAATTGTGGCTACCAGTTTTTCTTTCCTTTCAACTTGCCACTGAAAATATATTGGAATATAGATTTAGTGGGGAAAACAAAAAAAAACAAAAAAAAATTTCTGGTTAGTCCATTATTTGATATATCCTAATTAATGAATGTTTTTTAGCTTGAACGAACGAAACTGTCGGTACCAAATGATTTATCAATTTGATTGATACGTGAGTCACATGCACAATGTTTTTTTTCGTTGGATTCTAGTTTCAAACTGTCTTTTTTTCACCATCCATAATTCTGGCCAATTGATCAAATGTGTGTGTTAGAAATTCGAGTTTAGTTCAATTTCGGTTGATGAACCTCTATAGATATCCTAGTTAAAAGCATCCAAAGACGCTGAAATCAATAATTGGAATAGTTCATTCATTTTGTGCTTGTGTGTGTGTGTGAAAAAAATGTGATCTTGAAACACGTGTGACAATTTGTGATATGTATCATATTCATTATCCTTAATGGTCAGCAATTAGTTCAACAGGGTGATTTTTTTTGTTTACAAAGAAAAAATTGTCAAAAGTGAATGTGTTTTGCGTGAAAATTTGAAATCAATGATGACACTTTTTGATTTATGATTTTTTTAGAGAGAGAGAGAGAGAGGGGAGACATTCAAATGAATCGTGAAATTCAATGTTGTCTGTTGTTAGTTCCGTCCATCAATCAATCAATCAATCAATAAATGCATATAATCAATGAATTTTTTTTCCGTTTTGTTTACAACTAATTAATTCGGGTGTGTATTCATGTTACAAATTACAAAGTTTTCATTTTTCATATACCAGAAACATATGTTGTTGCCGACCCGAATGTTTTTTTTTTTTTTGTTCGGGGCACACAATTATTTTTATTTTTTATTTTTCCGGTTGGCATTTTTTTTTCTTTCACTCACTCACACACTCACTCTCAGTGTTCATTGAATTTCCCGTCGACGTCCGTCTTTCATCATTATTATCGTCATCGTCATTGTTCTAATTTTAATTTCCACAAAAGTCTAGAATGCCTCCACCTCCTTTTTTTCATATACCGGAATAAAATGTCTGGCGCCAAAGAATCCAGAATCCGTGTCAGTCAATCATCCAATATTTGGCACTGTGTGTGTGTGTGTGTGTGTAGCAGCAATAGTCGACTGTCATTAAAATTAGTTCAATTTTTTTCCATCATCCACATCATCAGGCTTTTGTTTCAAGATTTTGTTGGGTTTTGTTTTGTTTTCATTCACTTGTAAAATTCATTTCTGGCATAGAATGGCTTCCTTGCTTTTTTTTTTTTTTTTCCTGAAATAATTCGAATTTTAGATTTCGATTTTTTCAATGTTTATAGATTTGTGTTCACAAACGAATAGAATAGAATACAATCAATTTTTTTATATGATTCGATGCCAATCATCAATCAGCGATACACAACTGTTTGGCTGTTCAGTTTGATGATGATGATGATTTTTTCTCTACAAACAAAATAATAAAATCCTTCGGATCATTCGAACGTCCACGAACAATTTTTTTTTGTTTGTATGTGTGAGCTATGGCACGTTTTGGTCATTTGTTATCTCTGCTCTGTTGGTCTTTAGTCACTTTAGTGATCAAAATGAAGGTTTCATTTTGAGACACACATACACACACACATAAATAGGAATACAAATGTTGAAACTCAAAGATGAAGACTTGATCGTAATGATAAATTAGGTTCAATCAATTCTTTTCATTTATTTTTTTGGTCATTTACTTGATTTGACTATCATTTCCAATGAAGAATTAGGATTACATAGTTTGTTGAAGAATTGCCATCATTATCCGCAAACAGATGTCCATGTCTTGAAAGAAATTTTTTTTTTGCTAAATCTAAACCATTTATACAAATGCAAACATCGTCATTATGATGGTTGATCAATCAATCATCAACCAAACAAATGTTGGTTCCACATGTGATTCGTGTATGTTTGGTTTATTCATTTTGTATGAAAAATGAATAAAAAACAAGTTCAACAACAACAACAACAACAACGATCATATTGATTTTTTTGTGTGTGTGTGTTTTTGGGTTGACACAATCTCTTATGGTTTCTCAATTATACCACACTATAGTAAAGTGATGGCCATCACCCATCACCATTAAAAAAAATCGACCTTCGACCATTTGAATCTCATTATATTGACCATTTATATTCCATATATATATATAAATGACATTATTATTTCTCATTGACATTCATTGCTTTGTTCCAAAATATTTGATTAGCA